TTTCTCACTCTGTACGTGACTTCATTTGCTGTACAAAAAGTTTATTCTGCCACTGAAGGAGACTCTGATCCCTGAACAATAGTATGTTTGAATTTCATAGTTGTGTTGTCATATCCTGCTATGGCAACAGAAAACAACTGAAATTAACAATAAGTATACTGCAACTGAGAGAAAGAATGCATTGGAAAGGGAAGTAATATTAATAATGCAGAATGTTAAAGGTTAAATTCTGTTTGAATTTCTCAAATGATAAGTTGTTATTATTATTATTATTATTATTGTTATTAGGTAGCAGTAAAGGAATTAAATTGTGACCGCAGTGTCAGCAGCAGACAGGCCAAAAAATTAGATTTAAGTCTCCAAGTTCTAAATATAGGATTGTCCCATGGGACAATAGCATAATGGATCAAAACATTGGTACATGAATTTAGTTGGGGGCATAACAATTGTGAGCCACGTAGTACAGACTCAAACTCATTGGAAACAGGATGAGCTGTAATTAAGCAGTACTAAATAAGAACAAGATATTATTAAACATGGACTGTTGAATAAGAACAATCTACTCACATACATTAAATAAAGGGTTCGGTTTGAAATTCACTGAAGGTTACACAAATCGGCAGATGTCTGAAGAAGGCCAAATGGTACAACAGCCAAAACATTGTGATAATTACAACAAAGATTAGGATATTAGTCTGTAAATAATAACAGATTAAAATAACTTAAATCTCTTTTACATTATTATTTCTCTATTACATTATTATATTTGTAAAAGACAATTTCTGTCAGTACACAAAACAGAAGATGCTAAGGAAAGAAACTTATTTGGTTTTTTGCATTAATAATTAACAAAAGCAAACAAAATCTGAATTTGTTTCTGGTATTTCATTTTTTATTATATTTTCCTTTGCTATTTTCAATATGTTAATTAAATCACATATTTAATTTTTCTTCACAGCATCATCTCCGCAGCTATGTGTATCCATCAGCTGAAGAGGAATTTCAAACAAGTCTACTTGATTGGCCACTTTGCAGAGAAGCTCGTTTTCCAGACGTTTGGTTTGTTTTTTTTTTTTTTTTTCAATAATATTTCCTTGTTTTATATTCATGTTAAAACCTCAACATGACAATCAAGAAATTAAGACTTCAACTTAGGTAGCATTGGCGACAATAGGGTTTAGAAATTTGGCTACCACTTGAATCATTTCAATTTCAAACATTTTCTTGAATTTCATTGGTTGTTAAATAAAAATAAACTTCAAGAAATCTTCATAACAAAACAGTCAAAATTTGTGCAAAAATAGGCTCAACTGACATAAAAAAATCTTTCTGAAATTCATCCCTAATTTAAATGTTTCTATTGGCTAAAAAATAAAAAATACAACATTCGCCCACGCATTTCTCAGAAAAATTTGCAACAGCTACCGAGCCCTGTTGGAGCCAACTTCATTGTTAAGAAAACTATAAATAGAAATAGTAAACGAATTTTCATCGCATTTGAGACTCACACACGTGAAAAATATACATGAGAATTATGTGCTGCCAAAGAAACAAACTTTCTTTATGAAAGATTAGAAAAACTTACACAACAAATTTTTTCACTCAATATCTTTCATAGAAAAATCTTTTGTCTAAGTTAAATTCAACCTTTTTAATCAAAGGCAGACAACTTTTAGACATTGAACATTTCCGAAACAACAAAGAACTTTTTCTTTAAAATATACCTTTACACACATCATTACAAACAAAGAAATTGTAAATTGTGTATATAAAATTTAATCTGTTGTTTCAAACATGTATTTTTTGTCTTGATTGAATATCGTTACCATTTTTTTATAATTTATGTTTGTGGATATTGCATGTTTTATTTACAGCACAATCTTAAATATTCATGCAACCTTCTTAGATTCACTACAATTGTATATAAATAATCATAGAAAATGTATAAATCCCTCCCTTTCCCCTGTCTAAGGTGTAGAGATGCACCAACCCATACATGACTATACTCCTCCGTTGTCTTTTGAACAGGAGTAGAGGTTTATAACTTGTTTCCTCTTTTGGATTGGGTTTCCGGTTCCTTCAGCTCTCTACTTCTGACATCTTTGCCTGAAATCTGAAATTTATTTATTATTATTATTTTTCTCCTCTCCCAATAGGAGTAGATAAGTCTTTTGAATAGGAGTAGAGGTTCATCCCTTATTCCCTGTTTAGAATTGGGTTTCTGGTTTCTTCTAAAATCTACTTCAACTCCATACAGCTAACGTCTCTACCTGAACCCTGAAATTTTATTTGCTGATTAAATCTTCACCTCTTCAATCTAGAATTAGCTATCTTGTTATCTTGCCCTTTCTTACACTAATACACTTCCACACAGTAATCCTCTACTTTGAGTGGCCCTTGTGCCTTGTATTGGGTAAACATTAGTAATAAACTAAAAAGGCCATAAAATTTGGCAATGGTAAATCATTGCTTGTCTGGTTTTTGTAGAGTCTCATTAGAAAGAAGGAAAAGTAACCAGAATAATTTTTCATTTCAACAAAAATAAATATTAAATAATTAACTCTGTGGATAGACTACTGGACTGTATGCAATTGTTACTAAGGTTCAAATTTTATTGTTTGCTTGGGTGAGTTAGATGAACTGTAAAGGGTGCCATTTTATGAAAAAATTGTTTTATCTTATTACAATTCTGATTGTCCCTCCTTTAGTTAGCACAACTGTTACGCCCTATCACATAAATAATGGATTATTCCATTTTGATCATGGAGAAAGACAGAAAAGACATTATCAGAGACACTGCTTGGTTTCAGTGAGAAAAAAGAAAGAAAGGAAGATAGTAGTGTTTTAACATCTTCTGCCAATACCTAATAAATAATGGACTATTCTGTTTTCGTCACAGATCAGAGATGTCACTTGGTTTCAGTGAGAAAATGAAAGAAAGAAAAAAGGGAAGCTAGAAATGTTTAATGTCTGCTTCAGTGAAATGAAAAAAATTGTCAATTTATTTTTTTTCATTCATACCCCCCTTACTTCTTAAAATAACAACAAGCATTCATATTTATGCTTGTCACTGCAAAATTTTGTTAAAGTTGTTATGCTCAAATATTTAACAATGTGATAGAGGAATTTCTATGGATATTTTATCGTCATAGAACTTGCCATGAGTTTATTCACTCATTAACTAAAGAATTGTTATTCATCAGAAAATTCCAATAGGAAAACTGTGAAATTTTCACAGGTATTTTTAGTAATTTGATAAATATTTTAAAATAAAGGGAAGTGTGGGTGGATTAATTATTAACAGTAAGGAAAATGGAACCACAGAACTGAGTTCAAATTCTGGCTAAGATAGTTTGCTTTTGCTTCACACTCTTGCAAAAGGCACAAATCATCTCCTCCTCCTCCCAACTATGGAACTAAAGTTGGGCTCTAGCCTTAGTCGTCAGCCATGTTAGAAAAAGGACAACACTGAATTTAAAACTATGGAGAAAGGAATGGGAAGATACTTCGCTATCTTTCCCAAAATCTGTCTTTCATTGATTGAACCAGTTTTACTGTATGGATCAGAAACTTGGACATTATCTGCTTGTCTTGAAAGATGACTGGATGGAGCATATACAAATCTACTTAAAAAAAATCCAGAACATCAGTTGGAGATATAATACAATGCTTAACACAATTTACGAAGATCTGAGACCAATCTCTCTTAACCTCAAACAAAAATGATTACAGTTTGCCGGCCACTGTCACTGAGCAGACAGGGAAATCATCTCATTCTTATTCCTATGTCATCCTTCTAGTTCTCATGAAAATTGACTTTCCCAGACACCATAGCTTGGGAATCAGGAGATCTGGGAACAGCAATGTAAGACAGAACAGCGTGGAAAGGGATTGTAAGTGGAGTTATGATGATGATAAAGAGCTGTCATGGTAATTCAGTTTGCAGATATTAAAGAAATGGACGCTGTGGAGAGTGGTGATCACTTATTCTGATGAGTCATGGCTCTTGAGAAGGAGAAAATATTAAATAACTTACAGCCCAATTTATGTTTTAGAGACTCTAGCAAAATTAATGTTATTTTCAGTTGTCGTCACAATTTCTGAATAAAAATTCCTAGTGATATAAAATTATCATAGACTTGTTTCAAAGCAATTATAATTGTAGTGTGTACTGGATTTGACCCAGATGATGTTGGAATAGACTTCAGAGAACCCAGGTGCAGAGCAGACCTAGATGATGACCTCCAAGCCACTAATGTGCTGATCCAAATGATTAGTCAATTTGCACCTGAGATATGCATGTGTGGGAAAGAACTGTATGATATATATATATAGTTAAACCTAGAGAGCCAGACAAACCTACCAAGGTTTCACCTAAGTAGATCATCTAGGTCTGCTCTACTCATTGTATTGAGCACTTTATTTAGTTGTTTTGGATACTCGCATTGAGTTTTTTTCTTTGGGCCTTGAAGTCGTATGCTGGACGATTATTTTCGGCTAACGTACAATATTCTTGGTTCTTTCTTTTTTTATACCTTTTTTTTCCCCTTTGGTATTGGCTTGTTTATTTGCAAATCAATATACCAAAGGTTTACTGAGCGAGTATAGTTTCTTATACTTATGAGATTTCTATTAAGTGTGTGTGTATATATATATATATATATATATATATATATATATATATATAGATAGAGGAGGCACGGTGGAGCAGTGGATAGCGGCTTGGATTGAGGAATCGCAGAGCCGAGTTCGAATTCCAGTCGAATCCATTACATTCACTTACGTGCTAATACCCTTGGGAAAGGTATGTATCCTCTTCATCTCCTCCAGCTATGGGTAAAATAGCAGGACAGACTGGGTTCTATAGCCTTGGATGGCAACTGGTCTAGGAGAAGGACAACTCTGAATTCAAAACCTGTGGAGGGTCGTTTGGGAACCTTGTGGCATGCATTCGTGCACCAGGTTTCTGTATTCGTCCCTCCAAAAAGTGTGGCTGGTCCTGCACGAGGCCTTCACCACTATAATCAAATCTCATGTGCCGTGTCGGGATGTCGGTTTCCTGTGGACTTATCGGCCTGACCCTCATACGTCGTTCGACGGGAGAGTATATATATATATATATATATATATATATATATGTATATATATGATAGATATAAATATAATATATATAAACACCCAACCCTAGCAAGAGTAGACAGACTCTCTCTTACATCATTTTTTAATCAATTCACCCCATGCAAAGTGATAATACCACTAAAACACAAGTAAAAGGGAATGAGGAGACTTTAGAAGGAACCGGAAACCCAATCCTAAACAGGAAACCAACTCTACTCCTGTTCAAAAGACCAAGGCAGGAGTATCAGCCAGACGATAGTCAAACCTATCTATATCTATGCAAAATTTAGAGTCCTCTTTTGGAAAAGGGTAATGGCTAAATTAAATTTATTTGGAGCACTCACAATCCTCACTTCCTTTTAACTCCACTTACATTCCAGATCACACACCTCATTCAGTAACATGATCATTGAAGTTAAGCAATGTCGAACCTGGTCAGTACCTAGATGGGTGACCGCTTGGGAATACCAGGGGCTGTAAGTTTGGATGTGCGTGTGGTGTAATGGATAATATCTCAGAATTGTTAATTGGGGAGCTGTGTTCCATTTTCCATTGGTTTTGGGGAAAGACATGAATCCACCACTTCTCTCCCCAGCTATGGGTTAATTAGTAAGACTTGTATCACTAAACCATTATTATCTCCAAAAATAAAAGTCAATATTGTATACAGTAATAGTGGTGTCAAGGGAATAACCGTTCTTTTGATATTGCAGGCACAAAGGTTAAACATGACTGAAATTGTACTTAATGTAAAAATTTTACACTGTTGTCACTAAGGCTAAAATTTTTATTTATGTTGTTTTATCATTTTGGTCATTATGATGATTAAAATATTAAATTTAATTTATCATTTATTGTCAAATTTTTAGGTAATTTTTTTTAAATGTTGATTTCTAAAGTGTACAAACATTGTCAGCAGATGTTCCCTTATGGTGTACCCATTTCATAGAAACTTTTTTTTTCTATTTATCTCCATGTAATAATGTCCATGTAAATGTATCTTTTATTTTTTTTTTTTTATTTCAGTTATAACAAAGATGGTTGTTCTGAGAAAATCCAAACACGTTTGAACAAAATTAGAGATAAATTTGTCTCTGCAGATACTACAACCACTTGTTCTATTCAAGGCAGCCTGAATCCCATGATGCATTCAACGTCTATGGCTCCATTAAATACTCATCGTAACACCAGAGACAAAACAACACTTCGGTAATTAATTTCTTTTTTTCATTCTACACTTACTTCACCACATGGAAAAGGATTCACTGCCATTTAAGCTGCTCTCTTTTCCAAATGTCTCCTTTGTTTTTTTTCTACAATTCGTTACTTAAGACATGTTTGCTTGTGAGTTTCTAGTTTGGTTCCTAATACACAAATTCTTGTGTTTATTTCTGCATTTGCCTGTCATTGGTGTTTAGAATATGCTAACTTGCAGAAGAGTAAGACCCCCCCAACAAAAAAAAATAGAAGAAAAAAAGCTGCCCTCCCTGTGGATATTTGCAGACTTGAAACTTGTATCTACATTTTAGACACTAGTGTAAACCAGACCTATGTCTACTTTTTTTTTTTTAATCATTTCACCCCAAGCAAGGCAATAAAGCCACTAAGACACAAGTGTAACAGAATATGAGAAAGAAAACAAAAATACTATTAAGAAGAGAGAATAATAAAGGAACAAGAATTAAGTAGAGAGGAGATAACAATTGACATTGCATTTAAATTTTTTGAAGATCAAACTTGACTGGAAAGCAAGAGGCTGGAAGAGAGTTCCACAAGTAAGAAGTGCAATAGAAAAAATTGTTAACATAAAACTTACGATTACATCTAGCCATTTCAGTTTTAAACTGATGAGACTTTGCTGCCAATCTAGTACTGTATTTAAATTCATAAAGTCTAGCTACCATGGCAGAAAGTAACATTTATTTTCTAAAGATACTAGGCCAAAAGGGGGGATGGGGAAAAGATGGTCTTCTATCTTATAATAAAACTTAGTTAACCACAGTTACTGACTCAAACATACCACAGTATTCCTTACACCAAAACAACACATTCTTACTACAGCCACTATAATACATTAAAGTGTCTCTATGAAGTCCTAATTACAATTTTTTGTCTGGGGGTTGTGGAGCGGAATAAAAAACAACAATTTAAAAAATCTAATCCCAATGGACCATAGAGGAAAGTTCATTAGAACAATTGCCATGAAAATAAAGACTGGAAGAAGCTGGAAAATAAAATTGCTTTATTTACTGGGTAATAGTTTAATTGACCCAAACCTTGTGAGTAAAGTTGGTTAGATGGAACTATTATGTTGAGCTGTCAATGGTTGTGCTAGCACAAAGTCACAAGTCATCTTGACCGAGTGTTTGAGTGTGCTGACCTTGTTCAAACTGTTGATCATGCCAGGTAATGTGTTTTCTCCCAGAAACTAAAATTCGCTCAGCATAGTTGCAGTATAAGCTACAGGTGGGTGTTGAACAAACACAAATGTGCCTGTCCTGGCGTCTGCAACAGGGATCAACTAGCCGCCCTATTAGATAGGAACACTTGGATATGAGTGGTCAGCCATTAAATTAACTTTTCTGAAGTATACGACTAATTTAGAATGAATGTAAAAATTCACTTATCAAAAATGTCTGCCTATTTCTTTTCATAAGCTTTACAGATTAGTGACTAATTTAAAATTTATGTGACTCTTTTATTAACATAGACGGATAGGCAATTTAGCAAAACAAATTTTCCAAATCTGAAAAAGATCATTTTTGATCAGTTAGAGCCGGGAAGGGAGGAACATCCATTTCTTTTGATTTTTTGTATGGCACATTTTAATTTCATGATTAAAAAAAACGGCTTTTTATTAATTTTTCTTTTTCACTTTATCCTTGCTCATTTCTTTCACACTTTCTCTTGAACGAGTCTTTGTAGAGTCACTATTGAAAGAAGATAACTATTAAAAGCCTGAGTAATCTCCCTTATCTTTTTTTTTTTTTTTAAATCAATAATCATACTTATTATAAAATCCAGGTTGTGTGTGTGTGTGTGTGTGTCTGTTCGTTTATATATTGGATCGGATTTCCTACATTTTTCAACCAATTTCAATAAAACTTCACAGGACTACGTAAAATTACCTTGCAGTGGATCTGACAGCGCCAAAAGTTGAAAAAACGCAATTGTTTTTGCACGAAATCAATTTGAAAACATGATTAAGAGGCATCGCTGTCGAGAATGAAAGGGGACAACTCATATCGAGTTATACTTATTATAAAACCCAGGTTTGTGTGTGTGTGTGCGTGTGTGTGTGTTCGTTTATATATGGGATCGAATTTCCTACATTTTTCAACCGATTTCAACAAAACTTCACTTTTTTTTGGCAGGTAGTGTTTCTTATTGTCTTGCACACTTTTTTCTTTATTTTTACATTCAGGATGCTTTAAAAATTCCATTTACAAGACAATTGTTTATAATAAAATTCTATTCAATCGATAGACTCATAACGATTGAAAACAATGTTTTTGTTTGAATTTGGGTTTGACCAATTCGTAAAAAAAAAAAAACAAAGCCCCCAAAAAAAAACTAATTAAGACATGCGTGTCCGTCAACCTTAAACAATAATCTTTGTCAATTTTATTTTTCAGTCTTTATGATGGTCGATACTTGATCTATCTCTTACTGTTACATCCCCAGGCAACTCCGGGCTCTACTGCTAGTATATTATAGATGATTGATAGGATTAATACAAATATGAAATGTGTCACTAAGCTGATTGATGTTATATTCAACACTTCTACTCCAGAATTTCATAGACAAAATCTTTGTGTAATTTGTTCAATTCACTTGTCAGGAGGTATCAGCAAATGTCTGTCAATTTTCTTGTTTTCATTATTTTTATATTAAGTTTAAAAAAATAATTTATGTCCTTTTTTTTTATTGGTGATAGGTTGATTTTCCTTCTTTGTATGCGTGTATACACCTTTGCATGCACGTATGTGCACATGTGTCAGATGTTGTAGTAATCTCTTTTTTTTTTTTCTTGTCACCTTATACTCTTTCATTATTTATTTTTCTTTTCTTTATCTTTTGGCTTTGATTGACAAAAGATAATCTAATGAAATTATTTCCAGGGCCAGAAATGACTTAAAATTAGACGAATATACCAGAATAATTATTGGCAAAATTTAACCTCCAGACCCGTAAAAAAAAAAATGGTGTGTCAAAAGGACAGTTTTTCTCTTGATACTGTTATTTTTATATACCACTTCAGCATGTTTTATTGTTTTAAAAAGTTATTTTTAGAATTTAATAACAACAAAAATATTATTATTTAGTTGATAGATTATTTATTTACAAGATTAATTTTATATTAACAACATTATAAAAATATGTGAACCAGCTACAATTCAGTATTTATCATTTTTTTTTAATTATTTAAGGGTTGATAAGCCATAAAAAACAAATCAATCAGCTTGAGAAGTCTCAGAAGGAATGTTTTACAAGAAATTTTAAAACAATTATTTTGTATACTATTTCCATTGTTCAGGCTGTTGTCCTCATCTTCATTGCCATATTCCCAACATTTCGGCCGTTGTACACTCCAGCCTTCTTCAGGTGATTGGAATCTTGAACTGAACCCTTTATTTCATCTGCTGGGGTAGATTTTGTTCTAGTTCCATGTGTAAATGGATAAAAGTGTTAGATGAATCCAGTGACTTGATCCAAAAAGTTCAATACCTGGCTACAGCTGAGGTGAACAAAACTTGAAGAGTTGAGTTAAAGGGAGATAACTGATACTGGGACATACAGAAGAGGCATGGCACATGGAACTAGAACAATCTATCCCTGTGGATGAAATCAAGGGTTTAGTTTGAAATTCAAATCACCTGAAGAAGGCTGGAGCATACAACAGCCGAAATATTGTTAATATGGTAATGAAGATGAGGACAACAGTTTGAACAATCTAGACAATTATTTTGTATTGACTTCTTGGATATTCAGGCGTTAAATCATCAGAGGAATGCAGAATCGTCTAGATTTTCAGAAAGAAAAAAAAAACAGTGTCAAGAAATGAGATATCAAGCTAAACAAATTATAAACATGATTTTAAGCATTTCATTAAATAACAAATCTATTATCAGAATCAATTCACATATTAAAGGGTAGATATCTAGAATTTAGATGAGAACTATGGAGAGACAACATGGCAGTTGGTTAAGATGAAACTGTAAAAGCAAAATCAGGAATAAAATTCTTCGAAGAACCAAGTGGCTTCTCATAGAATGTTTCAGTTCCTCATATCTTCTTTTGCAATATGATAATGTCATTATCTAAAGTGCCTTGGGTGATGCCCCCTACACCCCCACCTGTAGGCAAATGGGGGTCTGTAATGAGGGTGATGTCCATGGTGCTATGTCCCAGCCTTGTGGTGTTGTTCAAACCATTCTACTAAAAGCTCGAGGAGCCCATTATTTTCTGTTGTGACTTGAAGTAGGTTGGGGGGGGGGGGAGTTCCTTTTTACAAGACAACATGCGAGGTGGATTTGTTTATGAAGGTACCTTCTAACTTTTGCCGTGCCTCAGTGTTGCAAGAACAGATTTTTTTATTTGGCAATACAATTTTCTTCTGATAAACAATGATATTTTCAAAATAATAATAATTCAGACACTGACATATATCAGTTCTCTTTTTCTTTTTTCTTTCCTTTTGTTTTACTTTTTTTATTTTTGTTTCTGTTTTTCATTTTCTTTTGATTTGGGTTTTCTGTTTTCAAGGTTTTTCTTTTCTTTCTTTTCTTTTTCATTTTGTTTTATTTTTTTTTCTTCTTTATTTTTTCTTTTCTTTTTTGCTTCTTTTTTCTTTTCTTTTTTCTTTTCTTTTTTGCTTTCTTTTTTCTTTTTCTTTTCTTTGTTTTCTTTTGTCTTTCTTTTCTTTTTGTCTTTCTTTTCTTTTTTCTTTTTCTTTTCTTTCTTTAGTTTTCTTTCATCTTTATTTTCTTTTTGTTTTCTTTCATTTTTGTTTCCTTTTCCTTTTTCTTTCTTCTTTTCTTTTGTGTTTTTATGTTAGTCAGATAATCTCACTTCAAATGACTCTGCATCTTTCCGTCTCTGCACAAAATGTTTGAAATTCATTCTCAGCATTTTAAATCATCCTTTTTCTCTCATATGTTAAATGCTTGCAAATAAATTTTTAAAATAAATTGTCAGATGAATTCCATCTTTTGTATCTACCATTTTATTTCTAAACGTATTTCCTTTTTCTTTGTTTAAGGCGAAAGTCGGAAATTGGCAAATTGAGTCGGCGTAGCATATCTGACTGTACTTTGATGCACTCAAAGGCAAGTAAGAAGCCTGACTTGCCACCCACGGCAGTTGTCAGTTCTTCTAGAAAAAGACCATCTGACCAACCCCAACAGATGTGTGATGAATCCAAAAGCAAATCTAGAAACAGTAAGAAACCAGGATTATTCAAATCCCATTCGGATATTTCGACTCTAACAAATATTGAGAGAGAAAGGAAAATGTCTCGGTCAGAAAGACATAGAAAAGTAAGTATTACGGGATTGTCTTTTTTTTTCTATTTCTGTTCAGACATTTTGAAACCATCACAGAAGAAACTCTATCCTTGAAGAATTTGAATTAATATCTTGAAAATCACAAGTTTGTGCTTGATTGCAAAAGTTACGTACTTATCCAGATTGGTCATGATTTAATAATTTTATGTGCAACCATAAATAAAATATCCTATTCTTGTCTGACACATGTCAATGGAAAAAATTGTTGGCTAAAATTGTGTCTAGCAATCAGAAAAATCTCAATAGGACTAAGAATCATATAACAATTGTGCTTGTCCTATCTTTGTTAGTTCCTTAGTTGATGCAACCATTACACCCTGCCAATACCTCATAAATAATGGACTATTCCGTTTTGATTGCATGGAGATAGGGGAAAAGACACTACTTGGTTTCAATGAGAAAATGAAAGAGAGAAAGGAAGAAGAGGAGATAGATGTGTCTAATGTCTGCTGCCAATACCTCATAAATAATTGATTGCAGGGAAGACAAGACATGAGTGATGCTACACGGTTTCAGTGAAAAAATAAAAATAAATCTTTAATGTCTCCTGCTAATACCTCATGAATAATGGACTATTTTGTTTTGATTGCTAGAGATGATGACATATCAAAGATGCTACTCCTGATAGCTCATAAGTAATGGATTATTCCGTTTTGTTTGCATGTGAGAAGACAAAAGACATATCAAAGATGATACTTGGTTTCAGTGAGATAATCAGAGAAAGAATGGTCGATGGATAGGTTGAAAGTCTCCTGCTAATAGCTCATAAGTAATGGATTATTCCGTTTTGTTCACCTGAGAGAAGAAAGACACATCATATATACTACTTGTTTTTAGTGAGAAAATGAAAGAAAGAATTGTCGATGGATGGGTTGAACGTCACCTGCTAATAGCTCATAAGAAAGGGTCTATTTTGTTTTTTCCGCATGTGAGAAGACAAATGATATATCATAGATGCTACTTGGTTTCAGTGAGAAAATGAGAGAAAGAATGGTCGATGGATGGGCTGAAAATCTCCTGCTAATAGCTCATAAGTAAAGCTCTATTCCGTTTTGTTCGCGCGTGAGAAGACAAAAGATACTACTTGTTTTCAGTGAGAAAATGAAAGAAAGGGTCGATAGAAGGGTTTAATGTCTGTTTTATTGAAATGGAAAAAGTTGTAAATTTCAAATCTTCTTAAAATAACGACCAGCATTCATATTTCTAAATGTTATTGCAATATTTTATTACAGTTGTTAAACACAAATATGGAACAATACGATAAGGGAATTTCTATGGATATTTTATTGTTGTAGAACTCACTATGAGCTTACTCAATCATTAATTGAAGAATTAAGATTCATTAGAATATTCAAATAGAAAAACTGTGAAATTTTCAGAGTTTAAAACTAGTTATTATTATTATTATTATTATTATGAGTTAATACTTATTTATTAATTTGTATGATATTCACATGTGAATGATTAAGAAAAATGTTTTTTTTAACCTCACATTAAAAAAACTTTTCTTTAATCAATTACTTTAATATTAATTTCTACTGAAATTTAATTTGTATTAAAATTTTCAATGCAGATTTTTTTGTTTTAATCATTTCACCCTACACAAGGAAATAAAGCCGCTAAAACGCAAGGGAGGAGGTTACTGAATGTTAGAGAATATGAGAAAAAAGAAAACATTATTAAGAAGCAAGAACAATAAAAGAATAGGAATTAAGAAGATAATGTTTGATATTGCATTTAAAGTTGGAAAGTAAGAGGTCGGAAGAGAGTTCCACAAGTGATAAGTGCGAGAGAAGAAACTATTAGCATCGAACTTATAGCAACATCTAATGGTTTCAACTTTAAAATGATGAGACCTAGCTGCCAACCTAGTACTGTGTTGAATTCATATAGTCAATGTACCATAGAGAAAAGTTGAATAGGTACTGGCAAAGAAAAGCAATACCTAAGTTTTAAAATGAAAAATCTTCCTTGAACCTTTTATTTTAGTTTTCATTTCAAGCTGATAAATTTAATATTTTCAATAAGCAAAATATTTTGCTCTATTTCAAAATGAATTTTTCTTAAATCACTAAAAATGGTTGATTTTAGCTGGATTCACCATTCTCACAGCACAACATAATTCTCTTTATTAAAATATCTAATAATCAAAAAATTCTTTGCTCTTTCCTCTTAATAATAACAACATTAAGATTTTGATGATAAAACTTTTTTTTTTATTAAGTTAGGGGAATTTTTAATCATGTTTCCTGTTTAAGATTGGGTTTCCGGTTCCTTCTAAAGTCTTTTTCATTCTCTTTCACTCCAAGTAGCCCTTGCCTCTTGGTGGCATTTTTATCTTGCTTGGTATGGTCCTCTTAATCTGTAATCCTCTACCTCGAGTGCCACTTGGGCCTTGTACAGGGTGAACACCATTTTTTTTTTTTTGTGTGTGTGTGTATATATATATATATACATACATACACAATTATAAATAACATTTCAAAAAATAAAAAACATATACCCAAGAAAACTCTTAGTAATTTTGAATATTACACTAAATATCTTATATTTGATAGATTGTATGATTATTGGAAACATTTACTAGATTTATTTTAAGATTTTTATACAAATACCTTTTCTAGTGCTAATATTACAAAATACATAGCTATTTTAGCTTAAATGTCATTTTGTCATGTTTTAATGTTGCTAGAATCAGACAAGTTTCAAATTTGACATCAATAATTAACATTTTTTTTTTGTAACCTATTTTAAATAAATATGATATTTGTTAATAAAGTTCATATCATTAGCTTAGCCTGATGCCTCTGCAAAACTTCAAGTCAGATGTTAAGTTGTTTGAACTTTTATTTATCTATTCACTATTTTCTGTATTCTACATATTAAGTTCCGCTTTGCCAAACTTATTTAGATAATTTTTTATTTTGTGTTTGTGAATTTTGCTTTTGGATGCTTGTAAATCACTTTGCTTGCAGTGAATTAAAAAAAAATGTATGTTCATTTTTAGTGAATTTTTGGAGGTACCTAAATAGAAAAGAACCAATGTATGTGTGTTTCTCAGCAGTTTAAGATTTCAAGATTTGATTTCAACAAAAAATTCTGATTGATGAATTATTCAAATTTAATCAGTTGTTGCATCAGATTTTTTATATTTTAAAATTTTGTTTTTTTTTTTTTTTTTAAAGTAATTCAGTGTTTTTTGTTTATTTTAATTCAGATTTTGTAAACTTTAGAGAACCTTTGCAAAATATTTAAATATGGCATTGAACTTTGTCAGGCGTTGGCCATTTAAGAAAAGAGCTGTCCATTCTTTGGAAAGAAATATTGCATTACTCTAAATATAATGGAGAGAAAGAAAGAGAGAAACCAGCTTCAAAGGATTACAAATATTGATAAAAGTACGTTGGGGTGGGGAGAAATATATTCATGTTTACCTTTTCTCTTCACTGTTTTTCTTATTTCTAGTTATGTATTCACAAAAGAACTGGTTAAAAAAAATAAAAAAGCCTGACTTGTCCTACATTTTTCTTTTTTAGAAACTGGAAGAAATTGTGCAAGCCGTACTCCAGCAGGAAGGTGTTAATGAAAAAGATGAAATTTTCACACGTTGCGCACAGCGTCTTTTCAAAGTGACTAAGTTATATGTCATGGTAGGTAATTTCCAATTGTATTGTTCTTCGAGCTCTTTAAGATTGTAGTTGCCATTACTATAATGCAGTAGTTCTCAAATGGGATCCATTTTAAAATGGTTTATTATGAGTTATTTTACTAGTGTACATCAATATTCTATTGAATTTAGTTGGTTAAATACAAATTTAATTTCATTTAATTAGTTTCACTTCAAAATAAAGCACATACAGTTACTATTTCTATAATACAATTACTAAACTTATTAGTAAAAAAATAAAATGAGCTTTTTTTTTCATCAAATCATTATGGGGATCCATCCCCACCCCCCAAAAAATTAAGAGTGAATGAGGTCTATGGGTAAAAAACAGGTTGAGAACCACTGCTCTAACCACTAAGCTATGATACATTTGTTCATATGTGATCAGTGTTTTCACTTCTCTTCAAGGATCTTCCCAATTCTCATAATTTGAGTCAAGACATGAAAAGAATTGCTGAAGGACAAGTCAAACACGTGAGTTGTTTCACATTCAACAAATATTCCTGCTTTTCTCACTTTTACAGATTCTATGTGACTGCTGCGTCTTTGACTCTAATTAAGAATGGTTTTAATCTGACTGTAGAGACATTTTTGATTGACTGACACTCATTCTTGTTAAGTTCAATTAAACCCAAACTGAAATTAGTAACATTGAAATTCCATAGACAGTTTTACGTCTTTTTCCTGTCACATTCAACAGTTTTGTTTCAAAATTGATGCCGCGTGTAAAACTTCCTGGGGGGGGGGGAACAGTGTTGAGACTAAAAGAAGTTTCTATCAGAAGAGTAACACTTTCTTTCTAAAGTCTCATGGGTGTGACCACCAGTCAGAGACATTTGAAATATTGTTCATAAATTGAGATTTCATTGTTGTGTGTTAGGAAGCAGTAAACATGAAGTGATGCGGTCTCTACTGATTTCAACAGAAACGAGAGTGTCTGTTTATGTTTCTGAGATAAGGTATTATGTACAGTATTTACATCAGTCGGACTATTGTCCTCATCTTTGTCGCCATATTTGTCACAACGTTTCGGCCGTTGTACGCTCCGGCCTTCTTCAGCAGAATTAGCTGAAGAAGACAAAATTAGCAGGAGATAACTGACATCCATCAAACATGGCACGTGGAACTAGAACAGTCTACCCCGGTGAGCGAAATAAAGGGTTCAGTTCGAAATTCCAACCACCTGAAGAAGGCCGGAGCGTACAACGGCCGAAACGTTGTGACAAATATGGCGACAAAGATGAGGACAATAGTCCGACTAATGTAGATACAGAAACGAGAGTATTGAAGATGGAGAGGTTCTTTTGGTTCAGAGCCGGACATTTTGCCAAAAGTATAACAGTACCTTTTTGGAAATACTAAATTTCCTGGTAAAAGTATTTTTCTTTCAAATAATCAAATACCCATAGATGTTGAGCCTGATCAACACCAAGATGGGTGATCATTTGGGAATACCAAGTGATGTAAGCTCGGGAATGTCAGGTGTTGTAATCGATAATGGCTCGACATTGTTAATCGGAGAGCAGGGTTCCAATCCCAGTTGGGTTTGTTATATCGACTTTTGCACTAAGAATCTTGGGAAAGGAATAAATCCATCCCACAGCTATGGGTTAATTAGCAAGACTTGTATCACTCAGCTCTGGGTGCCTTGAGTGGCAACCAGTTTAGAAGTTAACTCTGAATTAAAAAAAAAAAAAAAAAAAAAACAGCCTGGAAAGATTTGGGCTTCCGTCAGGCTATATCTTACCCAAAAGACATCACTTCTACCATGTCTGCAGTACATGTGGTGCCCCTACAACCTTGATGGGTCATGAGATTTGCGATCACGTGTATCACTAAAAACCATTATTTTCTCAAAATATTTAGATTTTGGCATTAAATAACTCATAGACAACATTAAATATTCATTTGGTGTTTTCTAGTCAGGAACATGTCAGAATAAGTGTGGTCGCCCTAATATACAATTTATTTATTAAGAATAATTTTATTTATTCTTTGATTCTTGACTATCTACAAAAGATTTCAAATGCCTGTACTATTTGATTCACACCAGCAAATACCAGACAGCCTGAATTGAATTTAATGTCAATAAGAAAACTTTGTCTTAAGGGAAGTTGATCTGTGATGATGACCACAGTATGTCCTGGGCTAAAAGATACCAAAGTAAACTTTGCCCTCAGTTTCAAAGTAGTGCACCAGAGGGTTGACCTAGAAGGTGACCTCCTAATCATCAAGTGCAGATTCATGCCTTACAAGATGCCAGTGGCTTCCCCTGAGATGTAAACAGGTGGTCAGCACAGCTGTGCTTCGGATGTGCACATGTGAGACATATGATGAGAGGAAAATATATAATAAGCAACCTGAAAGGAAAAAAGATCCTTGCAAGAAGAATCGATGTTACACATCCACTCACCAATATTGATTGAAGTTCCAAGTTGAACTAACAATAATTTTATGTATGAGAAATTTAATCTTGTGTTCTTAGTCTGTACGATGCTAACATTACACACAGATAAAAGGTGTCACCTGCTAATCGACCCCCGTCATTAGCAAAATGTATATTGTGTCCTTATTTTCGGTATGACCCCATCAGACACTTAAAACATTGCCTGAAAACAGACTCTATGGCATGGACATATCTACACATATTTGAAACATGTTTACAAGGAGTGCTGAGAAGTTCTCGGCTCAATTGAGATTAGGTTATTTGATCAGATTATAGGAAGTGGGTTGAGCCAAGTATTTTTCAGCACCCCCCTTTATATGCTCATCTTGATTTTTAACACTATTATTTGTGAGTGCGACTTCTCTTTTTTTTTTCTCAAGGCTCCTTGACTGCAGTAGCCATATTGTTAGTTGTTTCAGTCCAGGATATTTTTACTGTTGATGTAGCAGGATAGAAACAACATCAAAATTCAGACTCCCTCTCCTTTTAATGAATGGAGTTGCTTGCAATGGCAGGACAAACTTTTGCTTCAGCAAAGTTGCCTATTGAATGTTAAAATTTGAAAAAAAAAGAAACCTTTATCACCCTTGTCATCATGTTTCTCTGTCATTATAGGCATTTACTACAAATAGCTGCTTCGTTTCATGGACGTCTTCCTTTCTGTGTAATTTTCTAAATAAATTTCTGAAGAAATGTTTCAAAATAAATGTAAAATTTACTTATATATTCACAGATCGAAGAAAATATCAAATGTGCATCTTTTTTCTTAGTGAACAAATATTGGCTGTTTTTTTTCTTAGAAATTGTGTAGTTTGCTTTTACCGACAACAATAAGACCAAAGGTAAATTTGGAAGTTATTTTAATTTGCTGTCTAGGATGCAAGCTTATAATGTGCCATTTGCTTTTTACAAACAGGTTGTCGAGTTGGAAACCCGTTGTCAGAAGTCATTAAAAAAACGCAAATTAGAAAATTGAAATTGTCGTGATTATCAAAAGTAAGTTGCATTTGAGAAACTTTTATCTTTGCTGATTTGGTTGAGAGTAAAACTGACGCTCTTAGGGATTCATTAATAATTTTTATATAAACCAAATATGTAAAGTTATGAGAGATTTCTTTCTGAGAAAGTGATAGATTTTTTTTTTTAATCCTAACAGATTTTTTATCACTTTAAACATTATTTTTAGCAGCTACTCATATTTGAGTAGACACTCTATTAATTTATTATTAATTTTATATTCTATCTATATTTCTGAGATGAGGTATTGTAACTATGTAAACTGTTTACATTGTTTGGGCTGTTGTCTTCATCTTTATTGCCATATTCACAACATTTCGGCTGTTGTATGCACCGGCCTTCTTCAGGTGATTGGACATGTGGATAAAAGCATTGGTTGAAGTAACCCAGTGACTTGACCCAAAAAGTTGTGAGTTCAATCCCTGGCCAAGGCAGAGGTGAAAAAAAAAATATGAAGAGTTGAGTTACTAAAGTGAAAATAACTGGCACACATGAGACTAGAATAATCTGTTCCAGTGGATGAAATAAATATCTTGGTTCAAAATTCCAGTCACCTGAAGAAAGCAGGAGAATACAACGGCTGAAATGACATGAATATCACAACAAAAATCAGGACAACAGTCTGAACAATGTAAATAGTATATTTATTTATTTTTGTCTACATTCAGGCTGGTAGATGAAAATAAATATACTATTTAATAAATAAAGAGAGCATCTTTACAATTACGAGTACCCATTAAAAATAACGTTTAAAGTGATAAAAAAATTGTTTCTGTAGAAACTGAAATATGGACACTTTGAGAATCTTATTGACACCCAGTAGGTGTAAAGAAACTTGTATAAGGAAAAGTCTATAGTTAATTGTTATCTTCCCCTCTTATCCATATTAATGATACCTTAATGTAGACCTCTACCTTGATTGGCCCCCGGGCCTTGTATAGAGTAAACCTTACTGTAAAAAAAAAAAAAATATAAGTAGTCATTTGAATTATATTTACCAGTCGTCATTCTTCATTGCCTAAAGTATTGTCCTTTTCAGACAAGATGCAAAATGTAAGTGAAAAGTTCGTTAGAAGCAAATTCTTTATTTCCAATCTTTGTTGCTTGTAGAATGTAAAAATAAACTTATCGTTTCAAAGCAACAAAAATAGATCAAAAGAAAAATCATTAAAAATGAATGAAAAAGTTCATGACTTGAACGTTTTGAAAGCATTGGATCAAGAGATTCCATGTTGGAAGTAGGACTGACTTTTGTCAATAATTCCATTAATACATTTTTTTGTTTCATTGTATTTTTTGCTATATATATATATATATATATATATTTTTTTTAACAAATTTCAGATAATTTCTGACTGTACATCAACATGGACACATTCTTCTTAGGCTTTTCCATATTTTGTGAGTTCAATAATTATCTGTTAAGTTTCCCAAAAAGTTTTTTGATTGAAAAAGTAAATTATTTCATTCTGAAAAAAAAAAAATATATACTCATCTCTGCATCATTTTTCAATATATTCATTCTAAATGTTTTTTGTAAAATTCTTTCTTTGAATGTTATCCAAAAAGTGGCATCAAGTTTCAAGTTCTTCATCTCAGATAACCATTTACTGCAGAGCAAATCTTCAATGTTTTTTCTTTTTCCACTAAAACATTAAGATTACTGTATATGTCTTTAATTAGTTTTTTTGTCAGTCTTGCGTACTTTAGGAATTGGTTCCATTGCACTCAATTTAATGTCTTCACATAAAGAAAATATTTTCCTGATCATAATAAAACTTGTTTCTTTTATAGAAAACTATATTCTATAACATACCAATTGGACTTAACTGCAAACAAATGTCACTTTCTTCTTGCAAAACTACGATAAAGCAATAGAGACAAAAAAAAAAAAAAATCAAAATTCTGAGCTAAGATTAAAGTAAGTTTCTGTCCGTTTTGAATAATTTTTTTTCCTAAAATCAGTATTTTAATTACACTGGGATTTTAATCTGTGATACAAATAAATATATATTTATCTAAAAAAAAAAAAAAAATACATTTTATGCTATAAATATATATATATATATATATATATATATATATATAAATAAAACATGATGAACGTTTTAATTTTTTATTTTCCTTTGCTAAAAAAAAAAATTTGGATTTATTTTGAGATGAAAATTGGCCTCTCAAGACTGGTTAAAGTTTTTAGTAGCAATTCTAAATCTCTATTAAAACTACTCAGGATTTAGAAATGTAAGTAAAAATTAAAATCAACAAAACTTCAAACAGTTCATCAAATGACCTGTTAATTAGTCATTCAATAAGTTTGGCACAAGACTACATGTATGAGGCATTCAGTGAGGATCAAACTCACTATTCAGTCGTCCATGCTGAGATCCCCATCAAATGGACTTTAAAAAAAAAAAAAATCTGTGACCTGCTTATAGAAGGACGTTCAATGGAGTGAAATTAGTGACATCTGTTCTTTGAAAACTGTTTTAGTGACATTAACAGAACTGTGAAAACTGCCACCGATTCAGTCAGTCAAAAGTTGATTTTTAAAAAATAAGATATTTATTGATTTTCCGTTGGATGTACATGCGAACACAATTAACTTTCTCCCTTTCATGGTATTTCATTCAATCTCTGTTGAAACAAAAGTTTCTGGAGAAAAGAAAAAAAGCACGGATGTCAATTTTGCACAATGCATGATTTATGTGTTTGACAATTGTAAACACTTCCATATGAGTTATCAACAGATCGGATTTCTTCTCTGGCATTGTAAGAGGAGAAAATTGTTCAGACATATAAATGCAAAGCATTTCAATTGAGGCCGAAGATCTTTGGCATGCACAAACCCAATGAAGACCAGATCTGAGTTTTTAAATTCATAGCAGCAAACAGAATCTTTTAATTTGTACAGACATAACAGACACATCGGGTTGTTTTTCTTTACTGTTTCATTTTAATAATATCACTGTTGTTAACTGTGTTTCAGAGATGCCTTGTTTGATTTCAGTTATTATCATCCATGAAATACACAACTCAGTTTTTAAAAATATGCAGAACATTTAACAAAAAAAAAAAAAAAAAAATTGTCCTCAGTGGATGGTGGGCTTGGAATCAGTTTTATTTGAAAGAATAAACTTGAAATATCTGAACTCTCTATTCTTGCTCTTTTTAAAGTCTTTGCCAATGCCTTCCATTTTGTATTGAAATTATTTGTTCAAATTCTATGGACAACAGATTCTGGAATTATCAATCAATTTAATATTCTTTCTTGTAGACAGAAAGAAATAAAACTATCACAATTCAGCAGACTATAAGATAAGCACAAGTTAATTTCTTGTATTTTTAGGTTTTATCATGTAAGCAGGATAATAAATAAATGTCTGCCTTGTCTGAGATGAACACCTCCTCCTCCTCCATACAAGTCTAGAAATTGATTAGAAATAAACAGGATGTTTTTCTTTTAGTTGGGTGAGGTTCTAGTTCTTATACAATTAGAGACTATCATAATTACAGACAGTTTGTGTTTAAACAAAATAAGGTGAGAGAAAATTACTTGAAGACAATATATATTTGGAATGTTCTGGACTGTATCCCTCCCTTTTTGAATTTTTAAATTTTAAGGTGACAAAAAGACAGTCTTGTATTTGTTATTGTCTAATTAGTGTTAAAACATCTCAAAATCTCTAGTTTCTTTGATGTTAAAAAGTGTTAATATTTATATTGCAGAAGGTCTTTTATACACTTTGAAAGTCATACTCACAAAATAGTGTCTAAATTTCCAGTTTCTCATATAAAACCTTTTTTTTTTTTTTAAATAAAAAGTGCAAAATGTAATTTCACATTGAATTGGGGGAAAAAAAGCAAGCTAATTAGGAAAGCCGATTTGATCTTGAATAAAAAAAAAAGAAAAAAGAAAAAAAAAGCCACACCATCCACTAATTCTGGAGTTTGGGGGGGGGGGGATTAATTTAATCATACAATTATAAATATTTTTTTCCCCCAGATGGGATAGTACCTTGATAACAAAACTTTATGAAAAATTCTCACAAGAGATGGTAATTTAGGAGAGAAAAGAAAATATTTAAGAAAAGTTAATTTTTTTTTAAAATATTAGGTGACACACGTCTTAGTTTTAGTTATGTCTGAAGTATATAATCTTTTCTCAGGCATAACTTTAGGTACAGTTCATATCTACTGTGTGTGTATATATATATATATATATATATATATATATATAGAGCTGTGTTGGCAATGTTGGAAATAATTTACTGTTTAGTAGATGTAGAAATTCTGGCAATTACCTTTCTTAACAAATTTGGACGCAACTTTCTTACTCACACATATGGTCAGTGATTGGTTTTTACCATGGATAAGACTTTCTTTTTTTTTTAATTCAGAAATAATCCTTTGAGATAGAAGAAATTAAAAAAAAATTACAATTAAAATCTCTTAAATGTTTCTGATCACATGACCAATGTAACCACATGTGGCTGGTCAAAATTGGTCTTAATAGGAAATTTTTTTTTTTTTTTTTTTTAAATAATTAGCTTCAGAAAGGTTATTACTGCAATCCAAGTTAAAAAGAAAAAGTGTATCCATGAAATGGTAAAACTCAATTCCTAATCACAAACTTGCATTCAAAAAATACAAAAAGCAAAAGAAGAAACTTTACAATGGACTTTTTTCAATCATGATTCCCCCCCCCTTTGTGACCATCCCCCCAAAAAATGATATCAGTCAAAACTGCTGATCTAATGAACTAACCACCCTCCCTCCCCTTGCTGATTCACTTAAAAAGTCATAGTAATTTCCTTCATTCTTTCTATATAATGAAAAAAAAATGAGTTTCATTATAAATGCAATTATTGACATCATTTTCACTATTTTAGAATTGTTTCTATTCACAATTGTCAGATTTTAACAAGAATTGAAATTGTTGAATCTGATAAAATGTTTTTAATGATTACATTACTTTGCACACATGTCTTAACTATTTCTGTTGCAATCCAATTATGGACATTGTTTTTTATTCAATATGCATAGAAACACAGCTTTGTTAATATGTAGGACTGGCTGTGGGATTCAAATAACCTTCTCAAAATTAAAAGGAAATTTAACAAGTTTCAGTGAGAATGCAACATTTTTGTAAAGAGGGAAATTCTTGTGAATAAGTCTGCATTACCAAGCATCTGTCCAATTTCCATGGAGAAATATACTTGCTTTTTCACTTTAATTTGGATTAACAAAATGTTGAAAGATCAGATCATCTGAAGATGATCAGTTTATCAAAATGTATTGGGGGTTTTGGTCAGTCTTTTTTTGTTTTTAGGTTTTGCAGTTTGTTTTGAAATAGTCACACATTATCTATTATTGCTCTTAGTATTTGCACTTGAAGCCCTAAATAACAGCTTAGCTAAATGTAGTTTTGATATAAATTTAGATTAATTTTGTAAAGAGAATTCTCGATTTACTTTTGCTTCATTTTGAACATTGTGATTTCATTCTAATTAGCCCGTTAATGATAAAATAAAAACCTATTATTAATTGTAGGTTTCTACCCCCAACCCATTAATGTCCACCATCCCATTTTAGGGACAACATTTAAATATTAATGTGTTGAAAGCACATTTGGATGTTGGATTATAATACAAACTTGAACAGACGGCACACAGATATATTTGGTGAGATGGTCTGTAAGACTTTTTTGATTCTCAAAGATTCCACTCTTACGGCCTTGTGCCAGACTTTTATATAATCATAGAAACTGGTATTTACTCATCAAAATGCTCTTCACCTCTAGCTATTATCAAAATTTGTTTATTTTTTTTAATAATGCAAAAAAAAAAAGAAAAAAAAAAAGGAAATTTGAGGAGGAAATAAGAAAAGTAAGGACCAGATTCACTGATAGAATCTGCCTGATAATTTAACTTCTTAAGGGGTTTATTGATTTGAAATACAATCTGCTCACTAAGCCTGTGGTTATATAAGTACCAGGTTGATGATGCTCATTACTAGATAACAGATAGAAAATTGATTTCAAACTAAGACAAAGAGGCCCATTGTTAGTAGCCAGCCTATCACTTGTACTACTTTAGACAAAAATATCAGATCTTGCTTAAAGAAGTATTTCTTAAATTATTTGCCCAATTTTTTAAACTTTTGCTGTAACTCCTCTTAGCAGAAACAGTAATCCATTATTGATGTTTGTTTGAAATCTTATCCAACATAGAATAAAAATGTTGATAGGGATTAATTAATACAGCAGAATTGTGGCTCAGTTTAAACACCAAATATGACCAGCAGTTTGATGAAGATGACTGGTTTATCATAATAAACATTGGTTATGAAGATGTAAGATTTCATTTTGATAGCAATATCAGCAAGTGGAGGTCCTGTCTGGTTGTTACACTGTCAGCTTCACTAAACACGCACACTGACAAAGCTTTTCCTAAATTACTAACATGACTGGTAACATACAAACATTGAGAGAAGATGTCTTGGTTAAAAAAATAAAAAGAACTTTCTTTGGCAGCCATTTAGCTGTTCAAAGTGGTTAAGCAGAAACATAAATTGAAATTTAATTGGCTCAAAATGAAAGACATCCACTGGTTATGGCCCCTTTTTTTTTCATCCTCAGAAAAATTGTATAATTTAAGCAGATTCCAAACATGAATTTATACAAATGTTTGCAGAAGAAAAAGGAAATAAATAATAAAGAAAAAGTGAATCAAAAAATTGTCAAATGTGTATGTTGGAATTGATTTTGTTAATCTCTTTCCTTGGAACTTGCACAGATCTAGCCTATTCAGCTTGGCAATTATAATTACTGCTTTCAAAAGAAGCTATCAGAGAAAAGATCATTTGCCAAAGAGCTTGAGAATTTTCCCAGAGAGAATCTATTTTTGCTGGACCCTATTTTGGTGCCTTTTACTCTCTACACATAAAATGGAGACCCAAGGAAAGCAAAGGGTGGTGTGAATTGCAACCAACCATTTGTTTCTGTTTATTTGGCCTGCAAATATTTCTACCAATTTAACCACATTGATTGGCCTTCTTTAATCAACCAAACTTCAAATGGTTGTAGCTGAATAAAAATTGGTGACAAGAAAAGATTTCTGCCAGCCAGATTTTATATATATATATTATTACATAAAGGCCAAAAAGTCCAATGTGGAAAGGGGATGTTGCTTCCTATATTTGATATTGTATTAATTTTATGAAAAGTCATGAGCTCAAACTTTCCTTTATCCTGTCATCTACACAACCTTGTCACTAGTGTGATGTTGGGTTTCTCATTAATTTCAAGTGAATTGAAAGTTGAACACAACAAAACAAATATCGCATCTGCATGTGATCCAAATAACCTTTAGCACTCTGCATTATTATTTCTTCCCTTACCACTGCATTTTTTTCAAGGCCTCTCAAGTGCAGTATCCTTATTATTAATTTCATTCTAAGGTATTTTTTCTGTTGCTATAGCAGGGTATGACAACACAACTATGAAATTCAAATTCAGGGATCAGAGTCATTTTCAGTGGCCGGTTAAACTTTTTGCACAGCAAATGAAGTCACATACACAGTGAGTTTTGTAATTACAGAAAATTTGCCAGCTGAATTGATTTTCTTTCCTTTAAATAAATTTCTTAGAACTGTTCTTATTTTTATATAAAAGAGCATTTTGAATTAAAGAAAAAAAAAATGGCTTCCAGAATGGAATATGCCTGGGTCAAAAAAAAAAAAAAAAAAAAAAAAAAAAACATTGTGTAACATAGAAACAAATTTACATTAAAAACAACACACACACACTCTTTCTCTCTCATTTGTTCAGACACGCACACATTCTCCCCCAGAGTCCATAAAAAAATGTATACACGCTTTAGGAAAGGAAAAACTTCTTTTTTAGTTTCATCAAATCGCGATAACACTGTTTACTAGGGGGGGGGCCTAAAAGCAGTAGTTCACCATACTAATAAATGTCTGGAAGCTAAAGGCCACCATTTTGGTCATCTCTAGTGATTGTAGAGTCCAAAAGTAACTTGTATTAATCTTGTGATGTTTGAATAAATTTAGTATGACAACATTTATAAAGTGTGTATACATTTTTTGGCAGACTGTGTGTGTGTGTGTGTATATATATATATATATATATATATATATATATATATATAATGTACACTCCTACAAATAACAACATGATTGATTTGCTGTGAGTGTCAGAGGAAAAAGCAAGATGGAGAAGGCCATCATGATAAGAAAGGGTAGTGGAAGAATGGAACCCCATTGCTGGCTGGTGATGTGCTTAATGCTTGACAGCAATCAGAATAATTATAAGAACGATAATGACAACAGACAAGACAGTGATTAACAACATCTTGCGACTCTTCTTTTGATGTTTCTCGGCCTTCTTCAGTTGCGTCAAACCTTTCTCCACTTGTACACTGGCCATTTCCACATTGTAGTCAATACGGTCAAGAATTGAACCCTGAAATTTAAAAAAAGGAAAAGAAAACCATAATTACAAGCAGTTCAGCCATTTTGAAAATGGAAACTTCCAGAAATTAAAAAAAAAAAACCAAACATCTACAAAATGGAAATGGCTTCATGATAGAAAATGAAATGCATCTTTGTTACTAAATGAATAAAGTTGACATTTTTGTAGAACATACATTTTTTTGCCAGTTTTAGATTAGATGTTCAGGAGGACAAAACAAAACTAAATGCAAATTGTAGTGTCTTTTCAAACTTATTACAAACATTCAGTAGAAAGATATGTGTGGATAATTTGCTTTAAATGTAATGATCAAAACTTAGAAATTAATTCTTGAAATATTTCTGATGGTTTCACAAGTTCAGATTTCTTCCTATTCAGAAAAGAAATTTCTGGATTCTTCTTATTGTCTCAGAATTGTTACATAATGATGAAAATATTTCTGCTTTTACTGCATTGATAAAGATATACAATTGTAGAATTGAGTTCAATTTGTAAATTAGAACAAAAAAAACAAAAAACTGAAAGAAATGCATTTGAGGATAAAAAGTTACCAATCAAAAGAAAATAGAATCGCAGTTTAATTCAGTTAGGATTTAAGCTTATAAGAGATTATATTAGGAATTTTATGATAAAAGAATGAATTTTTCTTTGAAATTAAATATTTACTGATAAGACAACAACAATGATGATCAGAACAATAATCTGCGTATAAATCATAACTCCCCAGCCTGGAAATTACTGATAAGATTTTAAAAACGTTTCTAAAGATTACATGAATTAAAATAATTTTTTTTGTTTCCCAACAATTCTGGTTTTCAAACTCTCATTTCTTAATACTTTTGCTGCTGCATTATTACCTGGCTGTACTGGCCCGTTTTGGGGAAAAATTGAGAATTGCCATTTAAATGGCTATAAAGACACTGACATTTATGTTACAACAAAACAAAAAACATACAGAATATAATAAAAGGACAAGCATGTCATATTGGATGCTACTATGGAGATGAGCATTAGTTAGTTTATACCATAAACACTAGTGACTGACATTTCACAAGGTTTTGAAAATGACCATAATTCAACCCATGGAAGGCAATATAATACTACTGAGACACAAGGAGTTACTGGGAGTGAAAGAGAATGAAAAAGACTTTAGTAGAAACCGGAAACCCAATCCTAAACAGGGAACAAGGGGTAAACCTATACTTCTGTTCAAAAGAGGGTGGAGGAGTATAAACTAGGTGACAGGTGAATCTATCTATTCCTATAAAATACATCCGCTGCACTGAAAGTGTTAGCATATTTCACTGATCAATTGAGAGCTTTTTTTTCTTTAGTTGTAAAATGTTTCATTTATAGGATATAATACGAGATTTTTATAAACCTATAATTTATAACAGTTTTCACTGTAGCCATTAATGGGTCACCTATTTCATACAATAGACTGAAGTATTTATGACTGTTAAAAAGAAATTCAAATGTTTTAAATGCAGCCCAAGCGAAAACATTTTTCTTATTGAATAGAGAGACAATGAAAATAATATTTTACAAAAAATTTTTTTTAAATATTTGTAAAAATTGAAGCCCTTAGCAAAAAGCATTTTTCAGCTGACTTTTTCTGGAAAATTTTTGTTCTCCATTTTTTTGTGATGTCAACGAATGCTCATTGTAGTAGAGACTTTGTAATCGTAGATACAACTATAGTAACGCTTGATGATCAATACTGGTGTCAGACACCTTCGAATAACACTTGTACTAATAGTACTTGCTTGATAATACTCGCTCAACAAGTAACCACTGAATAGATAATAGTATAGAATAGAGAATAACGATCCATATAGTAGTAGAGGATAGAGGAGAAATAGCAATCATTTAGATGTCATATGACGTCCCGTGTTTCCTCTATGGTCACGTGGTCCACTTAAGTCAACAAACTCAAGTGTTGGCAGCAACACTTTATTCCTATATAAAACATTTGTTGTATGAAAACTTACAGCAAGGTTTTAAAACAAATGCAAAAATAATATTTTGCTAAAGCTGTTTATTCTGAATTGTCGATAAACACCAGCCTTATTCTTAGCACCAAAGACGGCAAAATTTTCTTGTAAAAAAAATAAATAAATATAGATAAACTTACCTGATCGACAATCATGTTTGCTAAATCTTTAAATATATCATTCAAATCTTGAATCGAACTAACAATTCTCATTATTTCATGTTCCCTTTGTTGTATCACTATTGAATTGTCTTCTACCAATTGTTTCTGGACACTGGTGAAATTCTGTTAACAAGAAGAAGAAGAAAAAAAAAATGGATCAAAGTTCGTACAGCTATACAATCATTTAATGTGATTTACAATCATGTTTTTGTTTTTTTGTTTTACACTTATTCAGAAATTGAATAAACAAGTAGAATTACAGGATTTTTTTCTTCCGTTTTCTTTATGCATTACCATAACATTGAGAGATTATCTTGTAGAGCAGAACTAAGTGTACTTCCTGCTCTTCCCTACTACTGCTCCTACTTATAAATATTGCAAGTAGCCATATTAGAGTAGGATTTGAGTAGTCACTTTATTCAAGTATTTCCATTTTACATATGAGTATTTAATAAACATCATCTTTGTTTTCCCTACCTAGTCTTCTGTTCTTTCAGTACTCTCTCTAGCTATAGCCTTCCTAATTCTTGGCTATTTTGAACAAAAACCACATCACAACAGAGGTGACAAGAATGAGATTTGCTTGTTAGAGAAAAACGAGCAGTTGCTGGTCTTTTCATAAGAGAATCACATACTGAAAATGGAAATATTTTTTTTCTTGATGTGACACAATTTGATTCCTGCACGGTTAGCCTAGAACATTGTTAGAATGGGCTGAGAGTCTTTCGAGTTGCATGTTATGATATGAAGAGGGGTAATAGGAGAGGGTCAGTGTTCTTGCTGGCCAAAGTGAAAAGTTGCTTCATTAGTCTGTAAAGAAAATATGACAAGTGTCGCATTTCCTTTACTAAGATTTCTTGAATATACACACTGATGGACATAAATCACACTGTTTAAAGTAAAAATAAAAATGGGCATCTATTTAAAATATAAAGTTTGAAGTAATAAAATTATTGGATTAAAAATAAATTCATTAATTTTTATTTATATATATATATATATATATATATATATATATATATATATATATATATATATATATATATATATATCCATTCAAGTTATAATCACATTCTGTAGCAAGTGTAACTTTGGTACTTAAAATTTGTCAAATTCTTCTAAAATCTACTATAGCCATTTGACATGTTTATCACTTCCCCTCTAGTTGTAAGTAAATTGGCAAGGTAGACTGGGCTATCCTTATTAGCAATTCACAGATATTTAAAAAAAAAAAAGAAAAAAAAAAAGGAAGCTGTGAATAGCCATGTTTGCCTCTGTGCTGAAAGAACATGGCATTTCAAGAAAATAAATAAATCACCTCTCCAATCTGTTGTCATTGTACTGACATTGGTAAGAAGGAATCAGTGTTGCATTAGGTGCATGAATCGGTTGTTTACCTTATCATATGAATTGTCTTCCAGTAACAAATCCTCATCATCTAAGAATCCAGATCCCAGATTGATATTGGAGTCAAAATATTGCTGCGATCGATCTTCTCTCATTTTCAATCCTATAAAGAGAAAAACCACTTCAGCAAATTCATAAAAACAAAATATTGTAGCATTTGTTAAAAACAGTTGCAAAATGCATCTTTTGCGTTTCGTTTGGTCTCTCTACTTAACGGCCCAGCAACCACTTCAGGGTTATTTAAGGCCAGATAAAGATTTTTGAATTGTCTTTGTTTGGGTTTATAGCTTCATGTTATTTGTGGATCAGTGAAAGTTTTGAGTCCAGGTTAGGGGGAGAAAGTTTTTTTTTTTTTCTCTTTAGATACATTTGGATATTAGAGTTTGCATTGTTACTTTTAGTGGAGATCTTTATAAAGTCTGAAGGTTTCTTTTGCCTTTTTTTTTTCTGTTTTCAAAATATATTTAAAAAGTTGTAGTTTTGTTGGGAGTTTTTATAGTTTTATATTTTGGTATAAAGTTTGATTTCCTTTAAGAAGTTCAAAATATTGTTTGGTTTAGAGTTTTGAGAGAGTTCTTTTATATTGTTTGTTTGATAATATTTTATTCGGGTTTGATTAAGATGATGCCAAGTTATGAGTATATATTTGACTGTGACAGGTACTTGACATTTGTTGCATGATGGGTGGAAGTTTTATTTTTTTAGTGTCAGATGTGTATGTCCAATTTGGAGGCTGGATAAAACTGTTTCCTCTCATTGTTTTATAGTTGGTTGAATATCATATGGTTTATTGTTTTAACTCCCATATTCCTTGACATTTTCTTTTGTCCTTTTTATTTTTTCCTACATGTTATAAAATATGTTTCACTGTGATATTAGTAATCAATAATTGTTTGAGATGGAGGAACAGCTTCAGTCGGTAATGGACAGCATTTTTATTCTAAATATTTTACAAACAGGCAAAATTTGAATGTTATTTAATTTAATAATAAAATATTTTCCAATTGTACATTGGTTTTGAGGTGGTGGTGGGGGGATCTGTTCTCTCACTCATTTTCTAAGAGTGTGATATGCCATTTTTTTAGAACCGAGAGAAAATGTTAAATCTTTGAAATGGGAATCACAGAATCCAAATTTGAATGTGTCTGACTTAATGCATGAAGCTTGTGTCCCTTTTTAGCAACAATAATTAAGTTCTTTCTTCAAGACGGAAGAACAACACATAGCATGGGTGGCTATGTATAAATGAAAAAATAATAAACACCTTAGAGGCAAGAAAACAATTTTAGGAGGCAATGCAGTAAAAAGGCGAAACAAAAAAAATACTCACGCTGTAGGTATGATGACTGAAATTTTTTAAAATTAGTCGACATTTCCTGAATAGTTCTTGCCAGCGAACAAACAATATTCTTGCAAAGTCTGATTTCTTGATGTGTTCCACTTTTACTCCGTCGACTTATCTGATGAATCAGGTTTTGGCAATGGGAAAATATCTACAGAAAAAAGGTGGAGAAAAATACAAAGAAATTATAACAAAATATTTCTAACATTGTCAAAACTGCTCCAAAAGTAATGTCTCCTGTTTTGCTACACTGGCCCAGAACATGAGAGGCAGATTTTGGTAGTCTGGCAGTGGGGGCTGGATCTCCCCTGCTAATGGCCCATGTAATTTTTATTTTTTTTTTTTGGTTTGTTCGAGATAATTGGCAGTCTGGTAAAAACAATATCTAGCACAGGATTCAAAATTGATATTGTCCCATTATTGATCAAATATTAATTTGGGACAGCTAGTAAGGTCTTTTAGGAACAATGCTTGGATAAAAAGAAATTCTATTAGATTTATTCTAAAAGCAACTGATTTATTAAAATAATTTATTCTCACTAAAAATGGTGGACTTTTAATTAATAAAGTGCACACATACACAAAAATAAATAAATCTCAAATGCTTCTTTTTAAACTGGTGAATGAAACCCAAATTAAAATTGAAGGACTTAAATTATAAATATTTCTATTATCTATCTCTAAATGTAAAAAACATTAGGATTTGATTGGAAGAAATAATTTTACTTTTATAAACAAAGCAAGAAAATTGTATTTTTTCTGTCAATTTTTGTTTAAAAGATTTGAATGAAGCTTTAATATGTGCTTATAATCTAAATTGAAATTGCAAGGGAGAATTTTAAAAATGGTAAACACAGAGAATTTACTCATGTCTGATATGAAAATGTTTATGAAGCAGATCTGTCTCATTGAATTCTGCCGTGCAAAAAGAAAATGGCATATCATCAAAAGACAAGCTCCCTTGGCAGGGTTAATTACACTAGTAGATTTATTTATATTGAGAGGAACATTTTTTTTTTTTTTGCTCAGTCTTTTTATTTCATTGGTTGCCCTTCATTGGGTCTGGGAGATTTTTATAAGCAGTATCGATCTAATAAGGCTGTAAGCTTGAAATAAATTAAAAGATATTGGGAAAAGAAAAAGTGAAAAAAATGGTTGGCAGCTGGCTAGAGAAAACCTACTCTTTAAAGGTGAAAATGAATAAAACTAAATTCATAGAATTCTGTTTGAATTAACTGAAAGGATTAAGGTGTTGGTCTATGAATTTGGTGGCATCAGAATTGTGAGTTCAATCCTTGATCAGTGGAAATGGGGCAAGCAAGAATTGAGCAGTACAAGACATCTGTAGATATAGACAACCGAATGACAATAAATTATTCCTGTAGATTAAATAAAGGGTTCAGTTCAAAACTTCCTTAAGGCTATCCACTTTGATAGACGGCTGAAGAAGGTCAGAGGACAATAGATGAAATGTTGGGATAATAACAACAAAGATGAGGATTCATATTCATACATATTTTTAAATACTAATTTATAACTCTAGAATTTGAAACAACCTTATAGACATTTCAGGTCAAAGGATTAAATTACTTTATAATAAAAGAAACTGAACCGTAATGGATTGCTGGAAGGATGAGGTTTTTAACAATAACAACAGCTGTCGTTGTGTCCACAAAAATTAACAATCCAACTTTTGAGTCCATACTTTTTTTCCCCCTAAATATTTGGTTGACAGAACAATATCTAAAATGTAGATTTTTAAAAAATCTTTTAAAAATAAAACCTAAAATTGATTATTTTTTTTTTGTAGTGTGTTTTGAGCAAAAGGCAGCAATACAGAACTTTTAACATGTTCAGCATCAATGTGTGTTTGTGTGTTAGCAAAGAAAATTGATGTTAAATGTTCTGAAAATAATATTTGCTTTGAAGAGCATCTAACATCACAGCAACAGCAAGTATTTTTCAACTCACTTGTGCAGGCTGAAAAGTGGCTTTTGAAGGGAAAGATATATTTTTATGAAAAATTTTTCATTATTGTAGGTTGAAAAGTTCTGTCCAAACATTAAGTGAAACTTTTGAACATGTCATTAAAGAAACAGTTAATGGTTTGGTTAAACAAAAAAAAAAAAACAACTTGTTACAGGAAAATTAACGATAATTTTATAACTTTACAGGAATTTTAAATAAAATAATAGTTTAATATAAAAATATTAAATATACATAAAGTGTGGAAAAACAGAATTAATAGGAAACATTTTTATATATGAACTTTATTTCTCCACATCAGCTCCTCTCAATATTAACGTACCAACCTTTTAGGAAATCCCCTGGAAGGTCCTGAGAATTTAACCATATATACATTCACAATGTTATGCTCTGGTATTGATTGGAATTACGAACAGAACTATTGACTGTACAAGTTATCTCCCTTTAATTCAACTCTCTGCTGTAACCAGGTTTTGAACGCACTGGGTCAAGTCACTGAATTCAACCAACACTTTATCCACTGAGCCATGTGTCCATAAATTTTGGGGATTTATAAACCTAATGTCTCAGTATCATTTTTTACCAGATCTCATATTACAATTTTGTCATTATTGTTTTTCTTGTAGTTTTTCTCTAACACTCCATATTACTGGTTTTCATATTGTATTCATTTCTATGCTTTGCTGGCTTAGATTTTTGTGACTGATTCACTGATTCCTAAGTTTTCATAGTTAAGGAGTTGAGTTAAAGGGAGATAACTCATACTGAAACACTGAAGAGGAATGGCATGTGGAACTAGACCAATCTACCCTGGTGGACAAAATAAAGAATTCAGTTTGAAATTTCACCTGAAGAAGGCCAGAATGTTGTTAATATGGCAACAAAGGTGAGGACAACAGTTCAAACAATAATTACAATACCTCATCTCAGAAATATACATCATTCATTGGTCTCAGAAATCTTTTATGATTAGGAAATAAGAAAAAGTCAGAAAGTGGAAGTCTAATGCTTCCTGATGGAAATTCTCATATTCCCCTTTTGTTTGATGAGAAAAAATGGGAAGAGGCTATGTCAGGGAGGAAAACAATTCTCTAATGAAGAACAGACAGGTTTTTCCCTATATTTTTAACTAATTTTCTCAAAATATTAAAATGTTATTGTGCTCTTCCCCTCAAAGGTCAATTAGCAAAATGCATCCCCGAAAACTGACACCATAACCTTTCCCGCTGACTGGCCTCCATTTGTTTTGACTGAACCCTTTCCACCTTTGGGTAACCATTGCTTTGGTGGAGCTTTGTCATCAAGATCACCCTGAGCCATTTCCATCTTTGAGTAACCATTTTTTTGAGAGAGCTTTGTCATCAACATTGTGCTGGTAAAGGCAAATTTGGTCTCCAATTACAATCTGTCTCAGAAAGCCATCTAGAATTTTATACCATTTATTTCAAATTTCTATTGAAAGCTCTGCATATGCCTGTTACAGATTTGGATGCAAAAGGGTTGCTCAACTTTCATTTTCAGTTAAAATTGGGTAATCTGAACCATCTGAGATTTTAGCTATCAGTTTTACTTACGTTTTATAACAGTCTTTTTTTCCGCAAAACTTTTTAAATGCCAGTTATTAAAACCATTGTAAATATGTAAAAGAATAATTATACAGTTGAAAATTGAATATAAATTTGAAAGTTCAATTTTTTTCTTGCCAATTTCTCTAACCTGGGTAATTTCCTGGGTCTGAATTTCAATGGCATGTTCTTCATCAATGCTGTCATCCATTGTTGGAAGATTGAGATGCTTGTTTTGAAGGGCGGATAATTCTTTCACTGATAAAAATAAAAAATAATAATAATTAATTATTGTTTTATAAATTTGCAAGTATAAATATAAAAAACGTAATCAGCACTGGATTTGGACCAACTGTTGTACCATCCAATAGTCTCGTAATATTTGATTCATATCAGCCAATACCAGATGGCCGGATTTGAATTTTGTTCTAAGTTGATCTGGAGTGACCCCAATATGTACTAGACTCATCCAAGATGATACCAAAATAGATTTTGCACCCAGCCTGCTAATTTCAGAGAAGACAGGTGCATTACCAGGTTAATCTAAGAGAAGTTGATCTGGAGTGACCACAATATGTACTGGGCTCATCTGAGATGATATTTGCACTCAACCTGCTAATGCATGTGGCTTCAGAGAAGATGGGTGCATTAGCAGGTTGACTTGGAAGATGTCTACCAGATGTAGATTTAATAGATGTAAATTTGCACTTGATAGCTAGGAGGTTACCTGATGTCTGCAGATAGGTAAGCAGGCAGTCAACTCGGCTGCACTTAGGAAGTGCACAAGTAGAACAACCAAAAGAGAGGAAGCTATACAAGTGTTTCACTTGAGAAACAAAAAAGTCACTCACATCATCATGAGGAGATCCACACTTGGACAAAGTCCCTAAAGCCACACACCCATTCACCAAAACTAACTGACAAAGTCCCAAGTTAAATAAGCAATCATTTTATGTATGAGAGATTTAGTGTTGTGATTCTATTAGTGTGAACAGCAATAACATTACAAGAAATTATTTGACTGTCATGTTTTTTAAGGCAACAAACAAAATGTTCATCTTTATATGTGTTGTTTTCATAAGTCTGACAAAGTTGATTATAATGAGGAATGAACTAATCATTAGTGCTTTGTTAAATCTATAGGCGGCTATTTACCTTAAGAGGGACGCTATTTGATCTTTAAAGTGTTTGAAGCAACCAAATTTTAGCTGAAACACAAGTCTTCCATTCATCTGTGTATTGAGTATTGCTGTCACATCTGATGTGGTCCTTCTGCTATGTATTTAGAGATGCTTAAAAAGTCCAAAGAAGAATCTGCAATGTGACTGACCTGGCATCTCAGCTTCAGTCTCTTTCCCAATGCCGTGACGTAGCTCCCTTGTGCCTATTCTATAAATACTTTCATGGCAATTGTTCTGATGAATTTTTCTCTATGCTACAATATACGTTGTGGTTAGATGTTTTTAAAATTGTTGTTTTTTTATTCCCCTCCTTGTCGTTATCTTCTGTCTTTTTAATTCCTGCCCTTTTGTTATTCTCTCTCCTTGACACTGTTTTCATTTTTCCTCTTCATATTCTCTCACACTCGGTAACCCCTTGCTGGGGGTAAAATGATTAAAAAAGAAACAAAAGATAGATTCTTAGAAAATGGTCATCAGTTCAAAAATGTGTTTGAAAATTAAAGACACTATCTTTAGGAAAAATCTTAAGACTTTCACTAATGTAGTGGCATGTTGTTGTAAAATCCATAACAACCGCCATTTTCTCCTTATGCAAAAATTTTTTTTTTTTTTTTTTTCAGCTCAGCTTCAACTCACAATCCAATCTTACTTCCAGTTTTTAATAATATCAGAGAACAGGTTAAGATAGTAGTGATCAAGGAAGCATCCACTTGGGAGTTGGTTCCACAAAGATAGGGTTTGTGGGCAGAAGCTGTGTGACTGGAACTTACATCTCAATAATTGGATCCAAAGTGAATGAGATTGGTGTTGTTATAATGTGCTTAGCATGGTGGCCTTTGGCTGTGAAGGTTAGATCTGGTGGAACTAAGGACTGTAATTCACCTGGACATGTTACATGGAAATAATGATATACTACTGAGAGGCGATGTTTCATCTGTGAGAACAGGGTAGTAGGGTGGGAAATAATTTGTCACCCACAAGGATACGGAGATGCTTTTAGACTCTATTGATCACTTGAACTTTCCAGAGTCTTGATAGAGTGGGTAGCTCCCACCCATACATGACAGCAGTATTCCATTTTCGGCCTGATCTAAGCTCTTGTAAAGGTAGAGAATAGTAGGAGGTGTTAGATCATTTCTGAAGCAGTACAGGGAACCAACCATTTCCCAAGCATCTTTAATGATAGATCGTACATATGAATTCCACTTGAAGTCCTGGGTTGAACTCTGTCCTAACAGAGACTCAAAGCCTCTCTGAGAGAACACCTATTCAGCACAATAGGTGTAAAAATTCAGGGTCCACTTGGTCATGATGGAATGTTGTGAGTTTGGTTTTTCTGCCACTGAGTTGTTAAAGCTTAGATTAGGGGGAAAAAGATTGCATTTCATTTTACCCCAGGCTCTCTTTAAATGCAATGGGAAAGGTGCTGTCTGGGAGAAGGATATCCGAGAGCCAAGCTATTCTTCTACATGCTGTATCCCTTAAGGATGTGGGCAATTATGGTACTCCACAACTTCCTCTCTTTTGTAGATCTTAGCAATGGTTGTCTTTTTGCTATCTCTCCTAATTCCTGTTTTGATAACCATTTACATAAGCTCGTTAGTCAGGTTGTTCTCTCCTTACTTCTGTCCCTCAACATGTCCTCTGAGTATTAAATTTTCCAAGTCATCTTTCCTCATTATTTGCTCTAGAAATTTCAACTGTCTTTTTCTAATTCTAAGTATAAGTGTCCTTTTTGTTTCCATTTTCATTAAAACTTTGTCCTTATTTACATGTTCAATCCATGATATTCTCAGCATCCTTCTGTATAATAACATTTCTATTGCCTCAAGTCTCTTCTTCATCTGAGAGGAGATTGTCCATAAAGGACATATATGTAGACGTTTTATTCAGGGAACCATCGGCTTGTCTGGGTGGGTAGATAGGTTGGGCAGCTTTGGCTATGTTGGTCTAACAGCTTAGCTCTTCTCCCTATCAACTCCTCACCCATTTATTCACAGGGTGCAGTGACTGGGAATATGAATGGATGGTATCAGAATCATGTAGCAGATAAGTCTGCCTCCCGCTAAGGGTGGTCCACCTAGGACTCTGATACTAAGCACAACTTTTAATATAGACCAGCACCTGGATACACTATTTCCGGTTTTGTTGTCACTTGATCTCCAAAAAGCCCCTCATCCACTCCTTTACTTCCCTGTTTCCCCTTTTGGTCAAAGTGAATACTGCTTAGAAAACTAGACTTCAAAAAGGAACATCTGCTGGCTATTAAACAGAAACACTTTAGACTGAGATAAAACCACACCTCCCTTTTCTATGTGGGTGTCCATAGTATCACAATATAAACTCTGCCCTATTATTTTTTTTTTTTTACATAAACAATCTTGATAATATTTAAAAATTAAGCCATCAAAAAGAGAAAAAACAAACAGAAAAAAACATTTATCTGAGATTAAAACTGCCCATCCTTTTCAAAAAAGCAGTTGATGCCAGCCTTACTTACATTTTTGGTGTCCTGGGTAAGATGATAAACTAAATCCGACAGGAGGTTTTGAGGAGCATGGAACCACCTCTTAATTGTTGGTGTTCCAAGGTCTATTCTGAATGGGGGTGGTAACACCTGTTAGGGTCCCAGCTACGAGCAAATAGTTAACCCCCCAAACAGGGGTTAAAACACTATAGAAGTGTAAAAATAGCTTTTTAATACTAGCAATACTTGTTTGTAAAAAAAATTATTACCATCAATAAACTTTTGAAGAAAAAATTATTACCAGCAATAAAAATCTTGTTGACATTAAATAACCTGTTGAGGTTGATATGCTGTAAAACAAACCAAACCAAATCTTACTTTTTTGTTTTATCCTTGAGATTTCATATTGCACTTCTTCGACACCATCAACCCTGAAGAAATGGAAGGATAAATTGGTTAAATACACTTCTTAACAAATCAATTTATACATAATTCTCTAAAATTATGTCAGAAAACATTTAGCTTGAGGATAAGCAATTTTCAAGTTATGTAACATTCAGATAAATATTTTACAAGCATCCAAAAGCAAAATTCACAAACACAAAATAAAAAATTATCTAAATAAGTTTGGCAAAGCGGAACTTAATATGTAGAATACAGAAAATAGTGAATAGATAAATAAAAGTTCAAACAACTTAACATCTGACTTGAAGTTTTGCTGAAAAATGGAGTTCACCCTGTACAAGGCCCAAGTGCCACTTGAGGTAGAGGATTACAGATTAAGAGGACCATACCAAGCAAGATAAAAATGCCACCAAGAGGCAATTTATCAAATATATTTAAATTAGTGTAATATTCAAAATTACTTAGGATTTTCTTGGGTATATATTTTTTATTTTCTGAAATGTTATTTATAATTTGTGTGTGTGTGTGTGTGTAATATATATATATATGCACACACACACACACACACACAGATGTTCATCTTGTAAAAGGCTCAAGTGCTACTCTAAGTAGAGGATTACAGAGTAAGAGGCACCACACCAAACAAGATAAAAATGTTACCAGAAGTGAAAGAGAAAGAAAAGACTTTAGAAGGAACTGGAAACCCAATCCTAAACAGGAAACAAGGAAAAAACAAAAAAAAACCTCTACTCGTAGTGAGGAAAAAAATGTATATAAATAGTAAATAAACATTCAAAATTTTATGCAGAGACATTGGAAGTTTAAAGTGGAAGTAGACTTTAGAAGGAACTGGAAATCCAAACTAGGGATGAACATCTACTCTTGTTCAAAGAGTGTGTGAACTGGCAAGAAGACAAACCTATTTATCTCCATATATATATATTACATATACACACACACACACACACACATATATATATATATATATGATGATTGCCACTTCTTTACAGAAGATGGCTATCTCTTCTTGCTCTTAAAATGAAGATTTGTTTGATTAGTAAGTATAAAAGGATCTTAAAACGATAAAAAATGAAAAAAGGATGAAATATGGCAAAAAAAATACAAAAAAAAAATCACTTGCATTTGCAAACAATTTATAAACTCCTATCCTTAATTTTTAAGTGATAAAACACAGTTAAAAGAATATTAAAAAGGATATAAAAGAAGGAAAGCTAGTAAATTGATAAAAAGAATAACAGCCAGTTGAGAAAGCTTTAAAACAAAATAAAGACAGTTTATATTTATGATAGTGACTGCGACTTACAGTACATTGCCATGTTCATGTGCACTCAATTAACTCTGCTGCACTCTTACAAGATTTCTTACATAAATAGCAAATGAATGGTGTAATGAGAGTTTTGAAGGTTATTTTGTCTTGATGAAGTCTATTAGTTTTGCCGCCTCTTTAAACCAGCTGATGACTTGCAGATTTTGTCACAAAACTGACACAGGTCAGGAGGAAAGGCGTTCAGTCTGAGACACATGGTCTATATTATTGTGGTGATGGTATCTCATGTGACTGGTTAAACCAGCTTTAAACAAGCAAATTCAACTGCAAAAAGTACATTTATGCTGGGAATCTAGAGGCAACAGATTAGCCTTACCTTAAGGCCCCTTTTCACTTTTGCATGCTCAGCCGTTTTTCTCTTCAAAACTATTACAACCATCATAAACAAGTTTAGACCTATCAACTCTTTCTCCCAATTGTTTCTATATATATTCAAAGTTTTTTTTTCTCTTCTTTTCATAATTTTCTTGTCACCTTATACTCTCTCATTATTAATTTTCTTTATCTTTCAACTCTGGGTGTCAAAAGATAATGTAACAATGTCATCTCCAGTGTCAGAGACAGAACTTATATTTAGGTTAATTTTCATGAATATTCTGGGGTTTTTGAAAATGTAGGTATAATCCATTTATTTATTATTTAAATAATTAATTTTTTTTATTGATCCTTTATATATATATATATATATATATATATATATATATATATATATATATATATATATATATATACACACACACAAACGGGGTGTTGCAGCAAAATCTGACACTTGACAAAAGAAAATGAAATAGGCAATAAAAAAAAAAAGTTGTATATGCAGAGACCCGACAGCTTATTTAGCAACAGTTAGAGTTACATACTACATTATTTTTCAATGTAACTGCCGCCGCTGGTGATGACCATCTGAAAGTGGGTGCGAAATGAGTCACACGCTTTGGTGACCATGTCCATAGCAGTGTGTTGTGGGCATGCTTGTTGGTCTTGGCCTCGATCATGTCCCAGAAGAAATAGTCAAGGGGTTTGCAGTCAGGTGAGGAGGGCGGCCACAAATCCGGCGACCGGAGGTGAGGAACATTGTTGAGCAGCCATGTCTGGGTCGTCTTGGCCTTGGTGTGCAATGAGGGGGACGTCATGCCTCAGTTCTTCTTTCAAAAGGACCTGAGAGTCACCGCTGAGATCGACTGGGAGATGCTGAGGAGCATGGTGAGGCCCTGGATGGACAAGATCACCGCCGGATGCCCCTACATCTTCCAGCAGGACTCCACTCCTACACACAAGGCCATATATATTATTAATTACAGAATATCAAATACTTAAAATCCCATAGATAATAATTTTTATTTCGTGAGAGCTGCATTTTTTCATGCTCTAAAAATTATTACTTATGGGATTTAAGTGTTTGTTATTCTTTTAATTAATAATAATTTTGCTCTGTCTTTTGGCATAGAGCTCTCTCTGAATCTATATCCTCCATGAAAATTCCATACGAATATATATATATTGTAATATTATATATATATATATATATATATATATATATATATATATATATATAGTATCATTATATATATATATATATATATATATATATATATATATATATATATATATATATATATATATATGACTTATCTGGTTGACTATATATATATATATTTTATTTTAAAATAAATATATATATATATATAATATATATATAATATATATATATATATATATATATATATTATATGGTTGACTTATCTGGTTGACTGATTTTATTTCAAAACAAAGATCAAGGCCAAATGTTTAATAAATCTATTATAGATTTATTAAACATCTGGACCTGATGTTTGTTTTGATGCAAAACTCTTGTTAGCTAACCAGATAAATCACTTGAACTTTTCTTAATTTATTGAATATTATAATTCTAATTATCTATTGATCACTTTTTGGCAGAAGTTCTGCTAATCTAAATAAAATATAAAATTCTTGTAATTTTCATTTAGTTTCACAGTTGTATTATCCTTATACTTATTCTTATTATTCATTTCTTTGTTACTATAAATGTTATTTTAGTCAGTACAAGTGTTTGAGTTGCCTTACCTGTTTTTTTCTTTTCTTGAACAGTGAAATTAATATCAACCAGCCTAGATTGGAAAGTCCTACTAAAGAGAGAGTTTGCCTCTGACAGGAATTAAACCTGTATTTCCTTTTCTATCAGGTAAAATGTTTCTATAGCCAAAATGTCAGTTAGTTATGTGCCATGCATGATACACGCTTAGGTGGTCATGTATCTTTTGATATATAACTGACGAGGCAGATTTTTTCCCACAGTAGGTTGTCATTTCTTTCTGTGGTAGACTAGTTGCCATCCAAGGCTATAGAACCCGGCTTGTCCTGCTGTTTACCCATAGTGTAGGGAGAAGAAGAGGATTCATATCTTTCCCAAGGCTATTAGCACGTAAGTGAATATAATGGATTTGAATGGAAATCAAACTCGGCTCTCTGATTCCGCAATTGGAGACGCTACTCCACCATGCTGAAATGTACTTGATAGAAAAGGGATACAGGTTTGATTTCTGTTAGAGGCGCACTCTCTCTTCAGTAGAACTTCCTGATCTAGGCTGGTTGATATTAATTTCACTGTTCAAGAAAATCAAAACAAAATAATAAAACAAGGATAGCAACTCAAATATGTGGACCCATTAAAATAATGTTTATATATATATATATATATATATATATATATATATATATATATATATATATATATATGCTAGGATACAAGGTGATTGGGCATATAAGACCCCCCCCCACAATTTTCAAGTTAAAATAAAAGTTTTGTCCTATATTTGCCATACAAGATGATCCCCCCGCACAATCATATATTTAAAATGTATTGAATTTATTAAATAAATTCAATAAGTATATACTTTCTTTTCACTCAAATTCTAATGAAATTAACAACCACAATCTACAGTACCTCATGAGTGGGTGCTGTGTTTTCGGTAGGATATTACGGTAGTCTGAATGAATTTTCCCCACTAACCATCCACTTGTTCCAATGTTCTTAAATGCAATCTTTAAATGACTTGTAGAGTCAAACACCTAGTTGTGTTTTTGTTCAATATCATCAAGAAAAAGATTTACAATTCATATTTTATACATGGAGTATAAGACAGCCCCCCTTTTTGGGGGTTGTGGTGGATAAAAATTAAAAGTCACCTTGTATGCATATATATATATATATATATATATAAAATGCTACCTGTTATTATCAAGAATATTTTGCAATAGCATTAGAATTATCTTTAAATTTATTTTCTTGTCCAAATTGATTGTCTTACTATAGTCCAAATATTATTTGGATTTTCCTAATGGGTATGTGATGGGGGGGGGGGCAGTATGAGTGGGTAGAGGAATGGAATGTTCAGCAAACCTTAACTGAAATACTGTTTCTTATATTGCTTTTTCACAGAAAATGAAATTTACACCCGAGATGAAAGCAATGTAAAGATCTGTGTCGAATGTCTGACCAGTGTGTATTGTATCAACGATAAGAGCGAATTTAGATTAAAAGATAATTCTGGTTTTAAAAAAAAGAATCACTGAATGAAGAAAACTTTTAAAATAAGAAACTTTTAAATAATTTTTATTATTAGGAGAAAGGGGTGCTGAAAAGTTCTCAGCCTAACTCATTTCTCAAAATCCGTATTTCAATGAGAAAATATCAGAAGACTTATTTTTGGCAAGTGAGTCAGGCCTAGGACTTGACAGAATCCCGTCAAATATGAGCTACTGTTTATTTAATTAAGTTCCACTTGAAACTGAAACCAAACCAGAAACAAAGTTTATTGAAAATGGCTAAATAATTAGCAAAAGCTAAACATTTGAGATTCACTGAATATGCATAATGATGCGGATTAACCAGTTTACACAGCTGTTTTAAAAGGCATGAAATTTCATATTGCGGAAAAAAAATTTAATAGATATAACATGTTTCAGATAAAAATGTGTTAAAAAAAAAAAAAAAAAAAAAAAAAAACCATGTTGGAAAATTGGAATAACGTTTCCATTTACTACTTCTGTCCCATAATCTGTCCTCATGATCTCCACTTCCTACACCTACCCTTCTCTTCTGTTTGTCATTACCATTTCAAACTTAACCCTCTACTGTCAGTGATTCTCAAATAGGGGGGGATGGCAAAATTTGGGGTCATCATTATTTACATTCAAACTGTTGTCCTCATCTTTGTTGTTATTATTACAATGTTTCGACTGTTGTACCTTCCAGTCTTCATCAATGTCGATTTGGATAACTTTCAAGGAATTACAAACTGAACTCTTTATTTAATCTACAGGGGTAGATTTTTCTCATTCTACTGACCATATCTATGGATATCACTAAGCATCTACTTCCATAGATTAAATAAGATATCGCCAAAGGTTACCTGGATAGACAAGCACCTGATTAAGGATGGAGGGCACAACAGCTAAAATGTAGTGATAACAACAACAACAAAAATAAGAACAATAATCTGAGTGTAAATTAAAAAAAAAAATAGTGGTTACATTTAATGTAAGAAAATACATATGCAAATATTACTGGCACTATTTCTGACAAAGTATTCATTTAACTATTAAATATGCAAATCAGTTTTTTCCTTTTTTTTCCTTTGTGAATTCTTTGAAAGTTTGTTGAGGGTTGCTAAAGGTTTCCAAAAAGCGTACTCACAATAATGAATGCAAAAAAAAAAAAAAAAAATGTATCTGTCATTATTTTGACAAATTACATAAGACTAATATCTTCATCTACATTTGATAAGTTCTCCAGCCTTTTTTGGGTATAGATCATGCTCAATAACCTACAATTTCCTTTCTTCAACTCTTCCATTGTTCCACTGACAAAAATAAAAGTTTTGTAAATTTATTAGCACCAAATTTATCAAACGCCATGCAGTTCTTCTTGTGAATCATGCATAAACTTTACAATTTCACTTACAAGGCTTGGGTTAACCCTTAATATGGCTGTCAGGTACATTTCAAGAGGAGCCACAGGCTGAGATCATCTCCCCAGAATGGCATTATCCAGAAGTCAACTGATTGACCCTAGTGAGATTTGAAGCCAGAGTTGCATGGTCAGAATGCTAAAAATCTTACCATTTAGCTACATTGCCACTACACGAGTGAAATTGGATAGATGAAGCTGTTCAGAAGCTACTGAGGGTTGTGCTGAGGGTTGTGCTAATGGATAGACAGAGGCTCTTCAGCCATCAGTGGTAATCTTTCTACCTAGAGATGGTGACTCAATAATGAAAAAAAATATCCATTCCCCAGTAGCCTGTCCAGTTGTGGGAATGTTTCAGCCTGAACAAAAAAACACAATGGTTGAAATCCTTACGTCATATGTGTAATGCAGTCTGCCGTAAGAGGAGATAGCAGCTACACTCCAAACTTTACAAAGACTGGACATATTCTACGGATAATTGCCAACTAATTCATATATTACACATTTAATGGTTCAAGGTGTGTGCATGTTTGAAAGTAAACTGTATAAAATAATATGGTTAATTGAGTAACATACCATTCTGGTGGCAGTCGAGCTGCCTTGGTACTGTTGAGTCCCAACTCCAGATCCATCTGGGAGTTGGCCACAAGTGCCATGCGATCATCAGCAACCTGAAATGGAAATATAGCCATTAATGATTTTAAGGGATTCAAAAACAATGCACTTTTTCTTTAAATAGAAAAAAGAATTTTGGAGAAAATCTTTCAAAATGGCCAAACTGAAATCAAATAATATATTAGGGATAAAAAAAAAAAAAAAAAAAATTCACTTTGTTAAATCATAAAATATTTATTTATGGAATGAAATTTTAAGATCAATTTGATTAGGAGTAACAATCATTTTGCTGTAATTGCAGATTATTGAATTAAGAAAGGATTTTTTAAAATGCGTTAGAAATTTGTTCAAAACTCTGAGGAAAATATATTAGGTCATTGCAAAAGTTTGTGCCTGATTAGAAAATTAAAAACAAAATTTTACATACAAAAAACATTTATTAATCAAGTACATAATCTCCATTGTTTTTAACAACTGCTTCCCATCGTTCTAAAAGCTTATTGATGACATTTTTGTATAGAAATTATGTTTTTAGTTGAGAGGTAATTTTTGACTGACTGTAAAGGGTCAAATTTTTTGTCATTTAAATTGTTCTGTAGAGACCAGAACCAATGAAAATCTGAAGGAAGTCAGGAGAATACAGTGAGTGCTGGAGGGTGGGGTCCCATTTCAACACTAAGCTTCTACAATGTTGGTTTTGCAACATGCAGTCTTGTGTTGACATAATGGAAAATGACATCTTTTTCAATTTGCCAAAATCAGCTGTTTTTCTCGAACCCAAATCTCTTCAAAAGGTGAAAGGCAGTTGAGATATTGATTTTCAGTCTTAGCAATCTTTTCCATCAAAATCTTCAGCTTATTCTCCATGAATGATGCAGAGCATCTTTATCGATGTCAGAAGGTCACACAGAGTGTGGTTAATTGTTTAGATTAAAACTACCCTGATGAAATCTACCAAACCACTTTGTGACCATCCAAAGAGCTGGAATACGATTCAAATAAACCTTGTTTTTTTTGTTTTTTTTTTTTCATAGCAGTTCTGACACACCTTTCCAAAATTCATAGAACACAATATGGTGAAAGTGCAATGTTTCATCCTCTTTTTTAAGACATTCATTCATGGACAAAATACAAGCATTCAACAAAGTGTGACTTACAACTGAATGATGAAAGAAAACTGGTGCCAAAACAAACACCAGTGTCAAGTTGCAGTCAATTTATATCAATAAAAATCAGGCATGAACTTTTGCTATGATCTGATATTTAATTACATAACTGAAAAAGAATTTAAGATGATTTTCCCTAAAAACAATTTTCTCATGATTTTTCTTTTTAATCAGTATATTCTTGTGAAACCAAATGTAATTAATTAAAACGCTGTAATGGTATTGGAACAAAATACGCACAGTTACACACACTTATGCATTATCAATCACACTTCAATGAATTGCATCACAAAATCCTAACTTGTTTCATTAGAAATTAAAAACTTAAAAATATGTAGTGCTAAAATAAAACCATATTTATACTGTAAAATTGTTTTTTTTAATAAGTAGTTTTAATAGAAAAATAATTAATGACTGAAATTTGGATTATTCATAGAAAGGAATGTTTGAATAGAAATTTTATTGATGCAGCAACGAATGCTGAAGATTGTGAATTAGACTGAACTTTACAAGTGTGAGGATTTTTCACTTCAAATTAACTTTTATTTAAAAGGTAAATGTAAGCATTATCATTATACAGCGTGCAGCAGAAATACCTCCCACATAATGGTAAAACATTAGTGGCAACGGTGTCTCTTTGTCTAGCTAATATCTCATAGGAGAATGTGGAATATCAGACACTTTGGCAACCATTTTGGGGTTTTAACCATTGAATTAAACCTTTTGAAATCAAGCAGAGTTTTAGCACACACATTTTTAAAATTCAATAATCTTAATCAGTGTGTCAGTTTTCAGATGAGATTACCTCAGATATTCAAGTACAGCAAAGCCTAAATCATAATGCTCAAAATATTACAGAATCTTCTATTTGAATAAATTTGAAAGAAAAAAAAAATGTATCTCATAATTACAAAATATTTCATCTACTTTATTCTGGTTAACAGTTCTTTATTTAAATACCATGTCCCTTCAGGATGAAGGTGATCATCTCTCTCCACAGCTTCCGTTTCTTTATTATCTGGAAATATAGTGGAGTGGTTTCCCTGTTTGCTTTCTCTACAGATTTTGAATTCAGACTGGCTATTAACCTATTGCTGGATTTATACCTTTCTCAACAGACTCAGCCAAAATTTAAACTCACTGATTACCCTTTCAACACCAATGTTGGGAATTCTGAAAGACTCTCTGGGTCTACTGGGAATGGACATCATGGTTCAGTTGCTATTTATTTACAATGATATCATGATACAACTATCATTCTTAAAAGAAAGTGGCTTGGTTATTTGACTCCTAAAAATTTCATATACTTGATGTTATATATAATTAAGTAAATTCTGAAAAGCAGATTTTTCCAATTTATGAAATTTTTTTCAAATTTTAAAAAATAAAAAAAAACTTATAAAATGCATTTAAATCTATTGGACATTGCAGAAAACTAACCTTAAATAATTAACCAAGTAGCATGAAAAAATATTTTAAAACATTTTATGAGACTTAAGAGATTTATTTGCCAAAGCCTATAAGCTTCTCCTTTAATGCAATAGGGAGGTACTGTCCTGAATCTCCAGAGACTAGGCATATTGGCACTGATTTTATGCTGTCTTATCCAAAGACAAGGAAGTGGCTGAGCCAGCCTTATATTAAAAAAAAAAAACAGAAACAAGTTTCTAATAAATCCATTTACAGCAGTGTTTCTTAACCTTTCCATGTTAAGATCGTGGGATGTAAGCCTGGAATCATTCTAGGATAAAAGCAACACACAAAGAGCTTAACAAAACACAAACTGATTAATGTTAATTTATGTTCAACATGACCAACAACTTCCTTTTGTCAATTTTAGTAGGAATATTTCTTGTTTATTTTCTCCAATTAAAATATTTAATTTTTAAAATTCATGTTTTAAATTGTCTAAAGTAAAACAAAAATATTTTCCATGTTTACAGCAAAATACATTGTAAAGAATTGGATAGGCTCAACCAAGTAGTGATCCTGAAAATAAATTTGGACATTTGGTTATTTGCTAAGATTTGAAGAAATTAGTCAGGCCCAAACCTTTTCAACAACCTCTTGTTTCTTGTATATTTCAATGTGACTCACATGAAACAAAAAACTTTTTTACAAATCACTCACATTATTAAAATAAGACAAATCAGTTACAAAATATATTTGTTTATAAATTTAGAAATATTAAAACAATGTTTGTAAAATTATTTTTTACATAGGTTTTCTAGGAATATTAACCCCTCCCCGTTAGTACTGTGTGTATTGGAACTGCATTAGTCTGAGGTTTACAAACTTAAAAATATTCAAAAATATTATAGATGTGTCATTTAGGTCTTAATTTTCTTGTTATATATTGCATTAAATGTTCTTTCAGGTTTTTATTGGATAAATAGAAATTAAAATTAAAAAAAAAAACAGTATTATTTTGAAAAAACAAATATAAAGGCCAATATGAAAAAATTAATTTTAAAATTCAAAACTTCAAATATACAAAAATAGGTTTCATTTTCTTTTCAGCAAACAAATAAAACTAATTCACACAAATATTTAAGACTAAAACCAGAAATTTCTTGTAGTTACTTGACAGAGGGATTAAGAAAGTTACTCAACTAATCATGAACATTGGACTTGCCACTTAGTAAATGTTAAGGAGAAAGCATTTTGTGGGCTGTTCAAACACCCCACAGTACTAACAAAAAGGGTTTAAAAAAATAAAATAAAAGATAAGAAAAAGAATCCAGCAAAAAAAAAAAGAAGGCCTTTTGCTGAATGGTAACATTTAAATATTAACCCCCCCACCCCCATTCTATTGTGATACTGTTACAAGGACTTATCATTGACTATGCAAAGAGAAAAACATGCACAGACAGCCATGCAACTCGGTGCAAAAACAACAGGGACGGACTGAAACAAAAGATATCAACAAGAATACAAGAAGTTATTCATTCGTATAATTGGATCAAACATTGGTTTTAGAAAAAAACAATTTTTAAATAAATAAATGCTTTTTGTTTTGGACAAAAATCGAGGCTGTTTGAAAAGTTTCCACCTTAAATTATTTACAATGTTGACAATGATTGAAATAAAATTATGGATATCACCTCAACACTAAGATCTAAAATTTCTTTAATAAAGGCTTTCAAGGAAGACTTAGGCTAGGTTGGTCAATTTTACAATATGTCAATTCTTGATGGTTTATTTCACATGGGATTTCTATATGGGGAACCCAGTGAGGATTGAACTCACAACTCGGTCATAATTATCAACCAGATTAGCCTTGTTACCACATATTGAGGTGCTGGGTGACTTGGTTTGCAAAACAAATATGTCACTAGTATTTTATGACCATAGCCCAATTGTTTTAATTATTTGGTGGAGGTTAACATTTGATACTTTAAATATAATCCAACTTGAAAGGAAACTGATTGAAAACATTTGGTAAGTAACATACAATTTTTGGTTGGAATTAAAGTTGGCAACTGTGAGAAAAATCACACATATAATGCATGAAATATTTGGTAACTTGAGGTATTGAAAGACTTCTGAGTAAAGAAGTAAATATATTAGATGAAGAAAAATATGGGAGAGTGATTAATCGGTTTGAAACCTGATGAGAAAGTTTGCTTTAAAAATATTAATTTGAACCTATAAAATACTTAAGAGCTAAAATAAACCAAGATTCAATAAAATCCAGTATAACTGAAATTCCCTGCCTAGACCCACAGCCCTGAAGAATTAGAGATGACATGTCAAAATTCTGCAAAACTGAGATGGAATTGAGAAATGTTATTTTAAAACACTATCCAGCAGAATTTGTAGAAAGATTACCAAAATGTAGAAGCACAGATCACATGCAATGTTAATAGGAAGTTCTTTATTTAACAAAG